TCTATTCGATTCTTCATCGCCGATCTTAGAAATTGATCTTTATTCTACGCAGAAAGTTTGACATTTCTGTTCCTTTTTTTTTTTTATAATATCCATCATTAAACAAGTGTCCCTATAAATTGTCCTTGACATTAAAATCCCGATAGAGTTGTTACTTAAACTTAAAACAAACGAGGAATGAAACTTCGATTTTTACTTACGCCTTACATCTTCAATTTTATATAATTGAAGATATACTTTTATATAACTTTTTATATAACTTTATGTAACTGAATTTTATATAATTGAAGATACACTTGATACATTATTTTGTTCAGAGAAAAAGTTTGCAATGAATAAAGAAAAATGCAAGTGCGTGCTTTATCGACTTAAAGGTAAAATTATCTTCAGTTTCAAATTTCCTTTTTTTATTTTTAGATTATAACGTACAAAGTTGATCGTTCTCTGATATTTTCTGGCGCTTCTCTGAATTAAATAAAAAATTTTTAAAATTTAGAATGATAGTACGGAAAAAATAGCATTAAACGTGAGAAGACTGGACGGACGGGCTAAGAAAAAGATAAGCTCGGCATATTTCATCTATTAATAATTATTTATCGGCAGATATAGATCCCGTGCATATTTATATATTTACCGAGTACAATCACAGGCGCATAACGTTCTCCTGCACCGAGCGACGGATGATGGCAACGATGAGATCTTCTCTTGAAAATAACTCGCAGAATGTTAGACTAATCTTTGAAAGCGCGCTGGTATCATCGGTGAAGAAAAAAACGCAACGTTTGGTATTTTTCCGCGATCGCTTACCTTCTGTCATTAATGGTTTTCATTATTGCATCATCATTGCACCTACGTAAATAATCATGCGATCGAAGTGACACAGCCGCAACAATAAGCAGATGTCGTTTAATTCAAATCGTATCCGGAAGGAATTTGCATGTGACACACGACTTCCTTGGCGGCACACAGTGCAAACAAAGAACGAGATTCAGCGTATACCGTGGAAGAGGATCAATCGCAACTATTCGAATTGAATTAAACAAACTGAATTTCAAGGTTGTGCATAGTGAACTATCTGAATCCTTTCAGTAAAAGTGTCGCGTTTCTTTACAAAGACACTAAAGTGCATGACGAACTCCAAACATTGGTAACGTAAAGGCAATTGTCAAAAAATCATATCCGATGAGCAACTAATTCAATTACAATATCCTTTTCGTATTTCTTCTACAATCGTAAATCAGAAAGGATGTCTGTTATGGGAGAATTCTTTCATTAAACAAGATAGATGCCTTCGAAAATTCACATAAAAAATAGCGGGCAATCTTTAGCAGAAAATATCACACGCACGTATAGAAATCTTTCTATAGCATATATTTTTTGTGTGTATGTTTCTTTTTGTCGGGCTTCTAAATCCAATTATTAAGGTAATGCAGCAATGTTCTTTGAAACATTTCTGAAGAACAAACACGTGTGAAATAGTCGGCTGATTAAAAATTGCAACATTTTTTTCGATGAGTTTTATAACACATTCTCTATCCAATAGAATCGTTTCTTTTTTCTTTTTTCTTTTTGTAATTTTGTAATTTTGATAATCTTTTTTTGTTTTAATATATTATGCAGTAAGATCAATTTTTTTTATATTTGAAAGGAACATTTATATTATACACGCAGCTACGTTTCAACTTTGTTAATCTTTCGACCACGTTGCACAGTTCAAATTCTTACGTTAATTTATCAATTCAACTATAATTTGTTCATCATTCAATTGGTCTTTCTAATTTCCCAACACGTCAAATCAACGTCAATTGATAACACGCTAATGTCATGGAGGAAAGATGAATATTGATAATACCAATTTTCGCCTAACAGTTTGAAGAGCTCTCAAGCTATTTGCCGGATCTATCAGGAAACCCCCGCATTTACGTATGGCATCTGTTCAATTACGACATATTTAATATACTTTATTGGAATTTCTCGGTGGAATTCCTCGGTGGAATTGGAATATCGGTTATTACGGTATTTACCCGATATTGAAGTCATCGTATCAATTATGTACATTCAGTACGAATCAGCTACATCGGCGTAAAATATATTAAAATATATGAAAAAATATATAATATCGCAATAGAAAAGCTCGTATCGTCCGATAACGCATTTTTGTTTCTGCAGTTCAGTTCGAACAACCAAACTCAACACGCGCGAATTTTACACTCGATAACACTCAGACACACGTACTCGCGGATGAACTTTGGAACGTGTTTTGCGTTAAGATTCATCATCATGCTTATTCACTATTCGTATACGCTGCTGAGTATTCGTCGCCGACTTCCATTATCGCGACACAGTTTCGTAGTTTGCAGTTTGTGCGATATTGTTATCTAAAGTTTGCTGGTCATTTTGGCAACAACAGTAAATGCTAATAGTAGTGGCATAATCGTTACATCTTAAATTGACACATTATGTATCAATAAGTCACGAAAATGACGTCGGTATTTTGACGCGTTACGTAACTCGCGAGTGTGTCAGCGTTTATTTCGAAGGACATGTTTCGCAGAAGACGAGTGTTTCGTTTTGTCACGGAGACGCTTGGAGGATGCGTGACGAGAGCTTAATTAGAGTGATTAAGGAGCGGACTATTTTTGCGGATTCTTAAATATAATATCGAGCCGTACAAAAGTAATTTGTTTTTTTTCTTTTTTAAGTTTGACGATGTAACCTCGGAGAACATTATTATCTTTTTCTTTTTGCAAGTTAAACTCATAGTGATATAAAATTTTTCTATCGCATATATAAGAAAAAGAGAGGGGGGAGGGGACAAGGCGAAAAACGAAGGAACATTAATGTTTCTTAAAACAACATAAACGAAATAAGATGCATGCATCTAACAAATTCCCGCTATTTTATCTGTTTTGTAGGTTAAAAAGAAATTTTTTTTATTTTCTTTTTCTTTAACGTTAAAAAAGATTGGCCATTCTAATCAATATTTCATTGAATTAACCTTTTGTAGATATGATGTTTTGTGAGTGTGAGTGTGCTTACTATTTACTACATAATATAAAATAATTTCAGAAATAGGTTTCACACGTTATACAGAAAAATGTTGTATTTCTACGCGCGCTATAAAAAAACAGCCGATAACGAATATATTCGTATATTCGTAACATGTTTGAAACGATAATAGTATCTTGTTCAGAATATTTCAACACATGTCTGTAAAAGATTACAAAGAATTAAATTAGAAATGATAACATACTGGTGGAATTCCAGTTCCATAATATTTGTTAAAACGTTTTGTTTAATAATTCTACATATAGGATGTTTTTTAAGTACTATTCAATATTTTACAAGGCAATTATTAGAGTATTATTAAAAACTCTATAAAATTATCGTTTTTGTGCCTAATAGCTCCTAAAAAAAGAGATTTCTTTCTCAAACTCAAGCTAATGAATATCTTTATTTTTAACCTACGCTATTGACTTTTTATAAAACGGTGATTATAGGTTAAAATTAAAGGTAATTCTTTGCTTATTCATTGACTCGCATTTGAAAAAGAAATCTTTTTTCCATTCAGAAATTATTAAGAAAAATCGATAATTTTATATAATTTTAAATACTTTTTATCTCTCAAAAATATTCAGAAGTATTTATATAAACTTTTCTTCTCTCATGAAATGATCTCTCTCTCTCTCTCTCTCTCTCTCTCTCTCTCTCTCTCTCTCTCTCTTTCTCTCCCTTTCTCTCCCTTTCTCTCTCTTAAACAATTCTTAAAATATTAGGTAATAATAAGAAATATCCTATATATATTTTCTGGCTTCTGCACAATTGTGCTTCAATTGCGGACACTACGCGAATAACACGGGACCGTTCGAGATCTGTAGCCGAGGTCACTTCGGTTTTGGCAAGCTTTGATATCTTACTTAACGTTCCGAGTCTCATGATTAGCTTGCTACGTACGATCGCAAACGTTCGCAAACAAAACGAACATTTCAGCATTTACGACTCTGCGATAGTGATAATGTTCACATCCCAACAGAAACGTTGCAAGTTTTCCGCGCTTCGTTGATTCATCAACCGAATATCGTAATGTAGATAAATTATAAAACTGTGATATTCAAAAGTACGAAATGGTTTAGACTAGTGGTTTGTTCTTTTTAGCTGCACTGCGGAACTAATGCAATAAGTTAGAATGAGATAACTATATTTTTTCTCACTTTAACTTATTACACCAGTTCAGTAGTGCAGCTAAAAAGAACAGACCAAAAATATGCTCGTTAAATCGTCATAATTGAAAGCTATTATTAGTAGATTTTGTGCGGTAACCGATTATAGTAGGAGTTGAAGTGACAGTGTATGAAATATTGGATGCCATAGTTGTCACGAAGAATTCAAGAAAACAAATATTTTTATTATGCTCTTATTTATTAGATAAGAGTGTAGCAGAGAATCAATATTTACAGCAACTATCACTTCGTTTTCTGTCATAATCATAATAATTATCGTTGAAACGTCAATAATTACTCAATCGTGACAATTTGTTATGTTTTTTTTTCCCCCATTTAAACCGCCGACTAAAGAGTTTAATCGACTGATTAAAGACTGCGTCTTTGACGAATTTGGTATTCACACATTTCGTATCCGATAGGAAAGGGAGATTTATTTTTCAATAAGTCTCAGGAGATCCATTCTCTTATTCGATACGAAATATGTTGCGAAATTTATCAGAGAAAAGTATTGTATTTCTTAATTGGATGCCTGCGCGAGTAAAAGTCCACTCATTTTCTAGGACGGAATTTTTTGAATTTCGTTCGCGGTAGCTTTCAAGTTAACGAAGTTAACGAACGACTGTTATGTGTATCGATAATTGTCCACTGATACTTTTGAGTTTCGTGCTAATGGAATTACACCGGACTCGATGGGAAAGTTATTTCTCCGAGACGAACGTTTGTGTACTTTTGCGTGTCTCAAAAAGATCACTGCTGTGTCGCTGTATTATTATTTACCTTTATTTAACACCTACGGCAGAATTGTAAGAGTGATCGGAAGTGAGCGCGTCTGATGCGACGTGACACGTAGCCGAAGTGATTGCGCGCGTGTCTTGAAACGCGCGCGTACGTTCCGATCAAACGAACTAATGCACGTACGCGGAGCGGCGTGGCGAACTTTTTCACGATGACTGTTCTATGCACCGGTGCGGTGCTGTGCGCCGCGTGGTTGTTGCACAGAGCGGAATTCTCGCGACTAACGTCGCGAGGAGACCTCGTCGGTCGCTCTTTGACTTTGCCACTGATTCTCCCCCTTTTTCAGCGCTCGTGTTCATGTTTATCTGTGCCTCTTTAAACGCGATGTCGAATTAGACATAAGTCACCGTAAGGAGGGAGAGGATATATGTATACCACGAAGGATAAAATAGCAATATATAATGCCTAGCGCCGCGCATTGTTGCAATGAACGAAGCGCGCCATTGCTTTCAACACAATGAGATGCAAACGAGTCCGCAGAAGTGCTCTTCTCGCCGTGAAATTAGGATTTCGAAGAGACGCGACGAACAAGGCTTTTCTCGATGTCGAGACGTTGCCTCGTTATAATGTTCTCTGGACAATCCAGAAAAAAAGAGAGAGATAAAGGTGAATTTACTGGAACTCTGACGTCGCGAGATCGAATTCTCTTTTTATTCTTTATGAAAGATCGTTTTATGAGTAATTTCACTGTAGCAAACATAACGATAATATAAATCATCCGCAGGTTTTTATACTCATGCAAATTTGTGACTAATCAATTTTTTCTTTCAATAATACTTGTTACTAATACAATAAAAAATCACTATCGCATATGTATAACGCATGATTCTTATGAAATACACGTCACAAGATATGTCACAAGATATGTTAAGCGGTCGTCTTTATTTCATATTTATATAAATAAGTTGCCTATGTATATCATAATATTGCACAAGAGATATTAGAAAATCGGTTACTTCCGCACATTATAGTGAACATAGTTTAAATTTCCAATAACAATCTGAAAAATACTTCTAATAAAAAACTAAAAGTGATAAAAACTGATAATGAGAGCGCAATATTTTTTTTTCTTTTTTTTATTTTGCCCCCAGGAATATTGCATAAGCTTTACGCTGTTATAAGAACTGAATGTTTCACAAGTTTGTCGTAAAGTTGGATTCTTTTCGATGAAATGAGTTGTACATGCATATGTTCGCACGCAGAATATACAACTAAGATATATACACATAATGTGAGGCGGTGATTTAAAAGAATTAAACCGCTCGCGACATTCAATCTATTTACAACAATTATTACTGGTCTGTTATCTTCGTTCTTTATTACTGATGTACTAGATTCCACGTGTAACATTGCGATTCTTCTATTGTGAGACCTCAGTAATGTTGTTGATGTAATTTCATGTAATTTCGCAGAGTAATGTTTACTAAAACATTACCTTAATGCTATTACTGATATTTCATACCGTGTTAAGTAAGGTTCGCACATTGATAATACGCGTATCATCGTATAAGGGAGGAGTGACGAACAGATGACTCATGAAATCGGCACTATGATACTATCAATCGAATGAAATGCGTGCGATCTATAGCATACTAGCATGTGGCATTAATAAATGCAGACATGCATGTATTATTAAATACAGACGATGTTGCGTCACTACGGTTTGATGTAGTAAAAGAAGATCAGCCAGACCGACATGATTCGAACGAAACGAATTCAATTTCAGGGGTCTTGCGGACACAATTCTCTTCCAATCTCACCAAATAGAAAACAATTTTCTTGAATGTAAAGCTTAGAAGCAAATAATGGAGATTCATCTCGCTTACTTTACGATTATTTTCGTTCAACATTATTGTAAAAAAATCCAATTTTCATCTCTCGTCACCATTTGTTGTTTCATTGCGTCTATAAAGTGAGTCGCAGATGGATATAAAATTTATTAAATTTTGTTCTGTCAAATATGGTGCGACAATCAAACGTCGAAACTTTTTTATCATTCCCATTTAAACATTTTGAAACGATTGACGAATTTAAATTGAATGGTTTAACTTTATTGCAATATTGTGATATGTCAATCAGAATCGATTAAAATGACTATTCGTTGGACATCCATCATTATCAGCTTAGTAGAGTAAGAAGCATCTTGGACATTCATTTCTCCACTTTCTGCACGAAATCTCGAACTATTTCTAGCGCGTGCATCCACTTATTCTCTTCTTATACGATACATATCTTTTTATGTGCTTGTGGCATTATTGCCTTTATGAAAGTAAAAAAGCATAATGCATCGGGAAAAAGCATCACTGCCTCCCATTTTCAAGCCGCAATAAAAATAAATGTACTTCATTAAACATTTATACTACAAAATATGCTCTAAAATATTAGCTATCAAAGCATGTATATAGATGATAGCCAATTGAATTGTATGAAACTACTCTTCAATATCAACATACAGATGCTAACTAAACAAAACACTGCTCGGACCTTATTTAGCTGCTCGAATGCTTATGGATCAACTCAATATATATTGCATTTGAGTAAATGTTCAAGTAATGTCGTTTCAAGTATTCTGTAAGTTTACAAATCTGCAAATTCATCTTAAATTCATCATAAGCATCGTATTTGCCCAAATACATTCTGAATTGTGTGTGAATTGTGGACGCAAGTATTGCGTCCAACTGGACATGTAGAAGGTAGAAATTGCCGAAAAGCGTTTCTCAAATTAACCAGTTGGAAAGTTGTTATCTTCTACCATGACAATGCAAGACCTGATGCGCAGGTCCGACAAAAATTATCAGTTTGGCTGATAGTCAGTTTGGGATGTTTTGCCTTATTCATGGGATGTTTTTCTACGCCTGACATTATCTTCTCTGATTATTATGTAAAGATTATGTAAAAACTTGCTTGGAAAACGTTGGAAAAGCACAAAGTTTTACAAGAGGGAAATTGTGAAATTACATGAAAAATGGCAAAACAATTGCCGAATAAAATGGCGCATATATTGCTGATTGAAATTGTGTTTTTAACAAGAATAAGATACATTTCAACTTTGTTCAAAAGTTCATACGAACTTGTGGATCAACGATCAATATCTTTTCACGTGTACAACGCGAAAGAAGAAGTATTTTTACATATATTTTTTTAAACATTTTAAAATCTAACCTGTAAAGAAGAACACACACACGTACAGAGTGAATTACTTCTTTTTTAATTATGGCTTTTGTAGTTTTCCATTATACAGTGTCCGTTAAATATATTACGAATTATTACTTAAATTTTTTATAATGTACTTTGTTGCTTTTATGTTTATTTATTATTTAAATATTTATAAATTTATAATATAAATATTTAAATTTATAATATAATATAAATATAATAAAAATTTATTTATAAATAAATATAGTCTTGCCTTGCAAAGTCGAGATTTTATTTACACGTTACTAAAACGCTATATACGGCTTAAAACTGTCACGCACATTAAAGCTGTATTTATTCAGTTGTGTTCAGTTGTGTTACATTCAGTGCTGTCCGATCGGCGTGCAGTGACGTAATGTTTCTGACTTGACAAAACAACGACATTATGTACGCACGAAGAAAACTTTGGCGACTATTTGCTACACTTCCTGCAATTAGAAGAAGTCTTTTCCGCGTATCACAGCGATACTATGATATCGCAGAAAATCTCGTCATTTGAAAGCAATTTATAATGTGTGCTGTGCTGTTTATTATTTTTCGAATGACTCATCATGCGAGATCAATCCACAAGGAAAACGAAGAATCGCTCTGTGCATCGATGAACTGCTCGTCGGAAAACTCGTCGTGTTTCACTGCTTCGCTTGAGTCTTTTGTTCAGGAACCTCGTGCCAATAAAGTGCACATGTGAAGTATGCTTTATCGAAATGCGTTAAAACTTAAAAACATGCGTTTATCATATTATATCGATACCCGACGAAAAATCGAGAAGAGACGAGATTGTATTTAGAAAATGTTGTTTAAAAAAGTCCATTGGAAAATGTTGCGACATTTTTTCCTTTTTAGATCCTTCGAGACATATCGATATACATATTGTTCACATTTTTTAACACGTTACATTTGTTTAAAATTTGTAATTGGCGATATATATCTATGATCTTCTTCCATGACATCGGCGTTATCTCTATATTACTTCAATGCAATTTGCTCAGCGCTTTTCTTTACTATCTCGCGATAAATTTACCTATTGTTTAATGCGCAAATATTGTCTCATATGTACCTCGCGTTACTTGTTATGATATTTGTCAAGCGACGTAATGTACACGTCGATAGTATCGTTGGATTGTGTGGATTTTAAGTTCCGCTATACACACCTCGATGATTTCATATTCTTGGCGTTATAATAGGACTGGGTGACGATTGATATCGAAAATGCGATAAAACGTTCAGGTTATAAAATTAGAATTACGTATATCGAAGTCACAATGAGATAATGATTTACCAAATTTTCCAAGCGTGGTGCAGAAAAAGGGAATTTGGCAATGCTAAAAATTTTTGCGACGGCAAGAGCATCTGAGACGCAGCTGCGAGTTTATCGCGTACGCGTTTACAAATCTGTATCGCTTTGCTAATTTCTTGTGTATACCATACGCGATTTACACACACGCACGCATGCATGCATGTACGCATGCACGCACGCACGCACGCACGCACTTCAATCGCGTACATACTCCTTCACATGCGGCACATGTCAATTAGGTCACGGCTTGTTCTATTTTGGTAGCGGAAAGGAAGAGGAAGAGAGAGAGAGAGAGAGAGAGAGAGAGAGAGAGAGAGGGAGGGAGAGAGAGAGAGAGAGAGAAAGAGAGAATCCTCCGATATGGAGATTCATTTCTATCAATTCCTTTCTGTTGCACTCGGCGACGCGCCGACCCAACGGTTGGCTCCAATTTTCGCTCGCACTTCTCTACATTTATGTCGTTAAATCCGTTTCACTCGTATGGCACTTGATTCACGGTAATCGCCGATTAATGTTATCCTCTTCTCCCCCTCTCTCAACCTTCTCTCAACCCCTTATGGACCCCTCATTTCTCATAAACGAATATCCTCTGCTAATCCGTGACATCGCCATATCACTCCCCTTCGAGCTTTTAATGCATTTTTTATTTAAGAAGACCGCGCGATAAATTGCCGGCGTATCGATTTCAGAACACAGCGTCTTACAGTATGAAAGAGCAAAACGAGCAGAGGATGACAGATATAGAGGACATTGACTCGCCTGGCATGGGTATTCGTGTGAGAACTACCGCCCCAGTGTGTTACGGGAGGAACATGACATTTCCTCGGCCGACTTCGTCTTACGCACATAGGCATGAACTTCCAGCTATAGTGACCGAGGGAGAGAGCTGCAGACTTCTTGCTGAGGTAAAAGACGACGATGCACACGCGCTCGTAATACCGCGCCGCGCGGGGAACTTTAATTTTGCGTTTAGGTCTAGTTGTACCAATGTCTCTCTCTCTCTCTCTCTTTCTTTCTCTCTCTCTCTCTCTCTCTCTCTCTCTCTCTCTTTCTCTCTCTCTCTCTCTCTTTCTCTCTCTCTCTCTCTCTCTCTCTCTCTCTCTCTCTCTGTTTCTCTATCTCTCGTGCACAGGTCTAACTAGCTTAATTAAATTTCCTTTTCGTACCGTCGCGCGTGGGACTCTGATAGAGAGGGCGAGAAAATGAGAGGGAGACCAATAGAGAACCATCAAGCCGAGCTTATTCAATCCGAACCATTGGCGCAATTTAAATTATTACGCGTCAACGTAATCTCCACTTTCGCGCGGTAATGCGAATCCCCTCTTGTTTTTACATCGGAAACGTTACTTTATGATCTCCTATGAAATCTCTCTCTTCCTTTCTCTCCCCGTGCCCTCTCTCTTTCTTTCTTTTCCCCCCTCTCTCTCTCTCTCACACACACACACACACACACACGCGCACACACGCGCGCGCGCGCGCGCGCATTTCCCTCATTATTCGACGCTTTCGATAATCAGATTGTGCAAGAATAGGCCACAGATATCTCTGCTTGATTCATTCTAGCAACAAGAGGGCAATTCCTGCAGCGACGGCCAATTGTCGGGCGTAATGCCGGACGTAGCGATGGCGACGGCCTCCTTCGGCGCCCTGCAGTTAATAGAGGAGCAGGAATTGGAATTGGATCTCGGTGACGGGGCGTCGCATCTAATGCCACATGTCTCCCCGTCGAGCGGGAACATCGAAGCGCACCGCTCGTCGCTGCCTCATCAGCATCAGAGACATTTCTCCGGCCCGCCACCACCACCGTATGTGTATCATCGTGCTGGCACTGCCTTACCGAGGTTTATTTGAAATTTATATACAATATGCGGAAGCGAACAACGTGGCAACTACTGATTCCCTCTGCCCTCTCGTCCCCGTCTCCTCTCTGCCCGTCCCTCCCTCCCAAGCTACTTCTTCCGTCGTCATCTACCCGCTGCCCCTTATTATATAGTATCTGCTACGTAGCACCTATCGATGAAATCTTGTTATTGCTGGTACAAATTGATTATGGGCGGATAATTGTAGGTACATCCTTATTTAAAAGCAAGCTTTTATGAGTGTAGAAAGTACTTGGTTTAAATGCATTTGTAACCTTAGCGGATCTAGGAGTTATGCACTGCGAACGTACAGAAAGGAAAGAAGGGAAGGAAGAGGAAGGGACACACGCTCGTGCGAGCACGGTGCGAATTTTGCGAATTTTGCCTCGTTCTTTCGTGTAAAACAGAGATTTTTCGCTGTACAATATTATGTAGATGTAACGATGAGACTAAGTGCAATCGTGTACGAGATAGAAGAGAAGGAAAAGACGGAAAGAAAATAAGGAGGAAATGCGATTGTGATTTATACATATAAATATGTAATCGTGATATGTGTATATGTGAGTGTACTTATGTGTGTTTGCGTCGTGCGCGTATGCATGTGTATGTGCGGAAATTAAGGTGTAACTCGCACTGTTCCGGCTGAGAAGTGTCAAGACTGTTTAAGCAAGAAAGTCACGTGGAAGGTATAAAAAAAATAAAAAAAGAGCAAAGGAACAATATACGAAATATTGAATAAATCGCGCCTTGTTCACAGTTTACCATCTTACATAATTATACTGCTCCATAAATACATGACGGAAAGTGAAAGTATCGCACATTCGTACGGTTTGTTCTTTCTCGCTTGCGTGAGAGAAAGCGCGACGAACTTACGGGAATGAAGCAAGCCGCGAAGCGTTTGATGACATTTTGCCGTTCTGAACTTTTTAATTTTTCCTCTCTCCTGTCTCCTTTTCTCTCTTTCTCTTCTAGGGCAGTTTCGATGTATGACGGGCTATAGTAAGACTGTAAGTATACAAGAGAAATCTAATCGATAAAACATATATCGCGCTCAGAGATGACGTCCGGAGCGCCTCAGGTCGTAAAAAGCGTGCGTGACGTCCGCGATATTTAATGGGTTAATTAATTATCGCTGAGTGCCCAGGTGCATGAGAATTTTCTAAGAAAAAATTTTCCATGAATTTAAATGTATACACATCGCTGCTGGCCTTGCCGGCGCGACTTCATTGAAATATATCTACAAACAGATTATACAAACATAAACTGTACGTGCTATATACAAGATGACCTAGAAGTTATATCTGAAATTACGAAAAACAATTCGATCGGCCCCGTTTGAAGACGCAGCTTTCGAATCGCGAACAGTCGGGTGCTCGAAGTGCCCGGCGAGTGATGTTCGAAGAATGCGAATGGTCAGTGGAATCTTATTCCTAACTCACTTTTAAAAAGTACTTAACAAATATCTGAATTCAATTTGGCGGGGCCAAATAATTGAAGACAGTAATCTCGAGATAGTGAAAATTTAAGATTGAGAGGACAGTACCTGTGTTCAAGTCCGAGTCTTTCGGGTCATCGTGCACATAGCCTGTTTCGCGAAAGTTATGAAATATCAGACTTTGCTTGAATTTTATCGCGCATAATATGAGCAACGAACTGTAGAAAATGCGCCGCTTTCACTTTCGTCGGTACAACAACGATCAGGCGGGAATTAATCACCATAAACGTACAGAGATGTAAGATTAATATTGACGGATAGTAACTATTCTTTATTTAATAAGACTCCTCTGTGTCGCGACATGGGATGTAATTATTGCTAAGATACACTCGATAGAGAGCTCATTTTAAAAGAATATGTATTCTCAAAGAATTCCTTTACCGTCCTTATGTTAGGTACAGTACTTGAAATCGCTGTCTCCTGCGTAATATCGACGCAAGTTTCGTTCGTGTAAAAGTGAATTGACGTCTGTATATTATATTTGTTTTGCATAATTCACTAAAGAAGAATATATCTATATATAAAACGACGAAATTTGGCGTTGTCGGCGCTGTTGTATTATCGGCGACTGGCATTAATTGTGATATTATTCGAGAAAGTTATTAGTTCGATCATTGTAATTTATAATAAACTTCTGTTGCAGATCAGGGTCTCGGAAAAAAAATGTATTATTGTACGAAGTATCATTAACACTGTCATAAGATTTATAAGCTACGGATACCGTTCGTCTCTGCTTTTCGAAGAAATGTTAGCCTTGTTTCTTATCTTCCGGACCGTATAATTATCGCATCTGTCAAGCAGACACAGCGGATCGTGAATTTACGGATCACGTCGAGTAAATGTAATATCAGCGGCGATAATATGCTTCGTAAATCCACGATCGATCGGCGAAGTTATAATTTAATGCAACTAGACCAACTTTTAAGACCAGAATAAAAGGATAGTTATCACGTAGATAGATTAATATTATATAGACTGAGATATATCGCGAGAGTAGTATTTTGACATTCGTATAGTTTCTGCGTCGCAAAAACGATTAAAATAACTTCCATTCATGAACCTTGGTATACCTTTTTCCCCTCAGAATTGTTAATTTATAAATTATTAGGATAATTATATATATATATATATACAAATATATATATACATACACGCATACATATACATATGTGTATGTGTGTATTTACATATATATACACGCGTGTGTATATACATATACATACATGCATTCATATACATATGTGTATGTGTGTATTTAAGTATCCAAATACTTTGTAAATCAACAATTTATATGTATATATATATATATATATGTGTATGTTGTATGTGTATGTGTGTGTGTATATATATATATATATATATATATATTTAGTTGCCACTGTAAAATGAAAATTCTGGACAGTTTATCTTTTTCATGACTCATATATAATATAAATGGCTCGCTATGTATATACATATATACACATATTATGTATGCATACATGTACACATATGTGTATATAAGTGTGTGCATTAAAAAAAAGTACATATAAATATATATATTTAAAAATAAAGTTTAATAAATATTTCGGAATGGAAAAAACTCATTATTCTTTCTCCACCTCCAGCAATATTTATTATTATTTCTATAAATATTAAACTCGGAAAAATTACAATATTTAATCTTTCGTATAATATTCATTATCATCGCATTTATCGTATGAAATACATCAGTAAAGTGTACACAAGTATGTATACTTAGAAACATAAAATATTTCTCAATAAGATACAGCTTCATTTTGTATTTGGTTTTGACGTCACGATATTACGTTTACGTGCAGATTGACCGGAAAGTGTAATTTACTGTATAAAGTCAGCGGAAACTTGCGTCGCCCAAATGAAAACTCTTATCGTTCGTGCATATTTCTGTAATAACCGTGTTATCCAAAAATAACCAAGCGGGGTTCTCGCGTGAAAAAGTACAGTGTTTGACGCAGGTAAACGAAATTACTACAACTATATTAACCCGAAAAAAATGACTTCAGTTTTTTCTCATTTAATGATTTTTTGAGATATAGATAGAAAGTATTCAATGTATTCGTGTGTAGATTGTTATCCGGAAGATTACGGATACATCGTGTTTCTCGTTTGTAGCTTATTAATTCGTCGAATTTTTATATTTTTTTCATTCAGGATTGCCCCAGCTAATCAAATTCGTCTCACGGTTGTGAAGTAAGTATATAAGGACGAAAAGGCTCATTTGTCGTTCAAATGTTATTTTCAAATTATGCTTATAATTAAAATTTATCGGAGCGATGAGAAACGGAAGAGAGGTATTGTTGAAGATTTCCAATTACGTAGGTAATTCAATGTTTATTTCCTTGCAAAAAGTTCGTTGAACATAATATCATTATAAGCATTATCGATAAATGGTATACACCAAGTTATCGGGATTGCATTAATTTGCATGCGCTCGTATTACATCTAGAACATATGAAATTATCAGACGAGACGCGATCTCGCGTTCGACGTTCTTTTCACTGTGAAGAAGGAGAAAAAATAAAAAATATCTGCATACTACAAACGACACGATCAGATCGCTTATTGCCACTATCCAAAGATTTTTGTGATATTTTGACGAAGTAACAAATACATTATATCTAAATTACTTAGTAATAATATACGCAGTACTGAAGTTCCTCATCCTTTCACGCCTCCTTTCGTGTGTTTCTGCAACATAATTTATTATACAATATAATTTTTATTAAATTCTGTAATTTATACACACACACATATATATATATATATATACATACATAAATACATATATATATATATATATATATATATATATAGAGAGAGAGAGAGAGAGAGAGAGAGAGAGAGAGAGAGAGAGATTATTTTATGTAATTTCTAATTTATACAGTGATCATTTGAAATCGTTATTAATACGACAGATTAGCTAGACACGGACGACTCAGGGTAGACTTGGGGAAATATACCGTTAACGTAATCTCATAAAAAGGCAAATAAAACGAACTTCGGAATTTGACGTTTCAGATACTCGCAAAAATTAACGATTACAGCGATACTCGCGACGGAGGATAATCAGTATCTCATGCCAGATGAGAAATCCTGAAAATCCGAAGCCGGAACTCACCGCGAGTTGTTCCTTCTCCCTGCGGCCCACAATCTTACAGCAAGAATGTCCAGAGGGAGTGAAAGACTGCTCACACACGCAATCCTGCTGGATTTCGACGCTCGTGAGGCTCTCGGCAATTCTTCTAGCGGTAACTTGGGCGAACTGTCTCTTCTGATTTGGTTTAGCGTCTAACAAGTTCGTGGAGCTGAATGCCGCTCCGCCGGACTGCAATAATATCGTACCGACATAAAGATAACAATTTCAGATGTGTTCTCTCAGTAAATTATTGTTATCGTTGTTGTTTCGTTGTTACTTGGAACGATGAATAACAACCATCCCCCCTCACCCCATCAAGAAATATATATGATTAAATAAAGAATCATATAATTATATATAAATTATATATAAATTATTATATATGAATTTTGTCTTTATAAAGTTATGTATATATTACACTGAAAAAACGCTATTAAAAAAGAAAAAAGAAGAAATACAAGCGGTTATTTTAATGGTATTTGTACATTTTTTCCGGTATGGACGCATATACTATAATTATGTGTATTCATATATGATTATATAAAAAATTTATATATAATTATGTATTATCTTTTGTCGGGAAATTACTCAGACAACACAAATGTCAAAAGGACATCATAGAGACATATACGGGACATTTTACTTGTTCCAGATGTCTTGTAAACTATTTTAAAATTTCTGTCCCTCGTCGCGCCATTTTAATTTATGATGTCAGAAGCAAAAAAATATACTCTAAAATTCCTGTAAAATATCCCTCGTCGCGCCATTTTAATTTATAATGTCAGAAGCAAAAAAATATACTCTAAAATTCCTGTAAAATATTCTAAAAATTTTTGAAGCAAAAAGATAGATATGAAATAACATTTGCAATCAATCGAACAAATTAGTAAAATAGTCCGAATACTTTTTTTGTTGCAAGAATCAATAAATAAAATTGCACGATTATACCACGTATATTCTTCTTAATTCATCTTTTCCCATAATTCTGTTATGATAATTGTATGGCAATTTATTGATTATTAGAGCAAACGGAAAATGTTCAAATTATTTTGCAAATCTGTTGAATCGATTATAAATGTCATTTTATAAATATATGTTTATATCTCAATATATTCTGCAGGAATTTTAGAATGTATTTTTGTGCTTTCGACGTCATAAGTCAAGATGACTGCGACAAGGAAATAGGAGCTTTAAGACATTTTGAATGTTTGAGACTATTGATTTCGTGAATTCAATTTTCATCTCGAATTAAATAAAAATTTGATTGATCTTTCATTTCGCGAACTCACCATGATAGCAAAGTCGGCACATACATCCTCGGTAGGAATCACCATGTTATTTCTGAGCTCGCTGTTTCCAGTCAGCGGCTTCTTCTTACTGTCGGCTAACACATATACGCTGTCCTGGTCGTAAGCGACGATGTTTTTCTGCGTTTTGCCGGAAACGTGAATGTCGCCGGGATAGTAAACGTTATAATAGGTTAGACCCAGATCTCGATACATCTTCAGTCCTTCTAAAAGTCTCAGCTGCTGCAACTGCAATAACGGAAATGTCAGATCAGTTTTGTGCTGAGATGAACGAGCTTATCGTATCGCGACAGAGATAACTCAATAAAAAAAAATTACATATAATTACATAAGAGTATAATTATATTTTTCCGCGAAAAGGAAATTTCGTGCGATTTGATATGCAATTATCGCTATACATAAAAATACGGGAATCTTTTCTATAAATTATTATTCTTCCACTAATTTTTCTCGGATTGGCAATCGAATTTTATTAGTACGTCGCTATGCGACATTTCATGAGTCAAAAAGTTTGGTCCGAATTTTTATGCTGTCGCTTTTAACTGTCTCGAACTGTTGTAGATGCATATACAGGGTGTTTCAGACCATCCAGTACCCGATATTTTTTTTTTGTAAATGCGACATTTTAGAGAAAAATGTTTCAGACAAAAGTTATAAGGTTTCAAGTTATATAAAACAATTATATCATTTTGTTCATAGATGGTGCCACTTTCGAGATATTCACTGATTGTTACTTTTCTTAAATGGAAACCCCAATTTTTTATTATATTATCTTTTTCTACCAATTAATTTGAACAATTTTTGTCCGAAACATTTCTTAGTATCTTTCATACTCTTCGAAATTTTTGCCTTGTTCATTTAAAATGGGACACTATATACGTTCGAGAAATGTTCTCGGTGTGAAAGTCTATGTACGTTCTACAAATTTCTTCAGCTTATATTCCTGACAAAAACGACAGTTATCAACTGTTGCGATAGGCACCTATATTCATCTACATATTTTAGCAACAGTGATAAATAACATTTTATTTGTTTTTATTCATTGCTTTCGATTTTTTTAAAAAAGTAATTTTTTCCATTGATCGCGGCATGCTACAGTCCAAATTATATTCTCAGTCTTCAGCAGTTGTTTAGCTTTGAAGTATTCCCTACTCATCTCGCAAAAGATTAATGAAAATAAATTATTTATCAACTTGTCATCGTCGATCGACAATTCTTCGCCAACATTGCAACTTTTACATATATTGAATAGAAGATGGCTGGTTTATCGCTTTCGAAGGAAGCAGGAAAATGGACCGAACCGTTTAGCTGACCCGATATTATAGTAGACCACTAATTGATACATTTCTCTTGCATACAATCGGGCAACCATCGTTCCGAATATTCCAAGAGTTCGCATCAGAGACGATAGTAATTAAGGGAACTCTTACAGATAACGGTAACGGGCTCTTCTCACACGGAGTGGAGACAATTGCGACGACAGCCTTGGCCGCGCCAGGTCTGTACGGATAGCGGATGGCTTCCGCGTAGGCGTCAGACAACGCGAGTGTGCCGAATTCCACATCCAACCTTTGGCCGATGTACTTCAGTTTCTGCTCCAAGCTGCTTTTTTTCGCTTCCTGCGAGCAAAGGCACAAATGGCCATGTATTACCGAGAAGCTTCATAATAAAGCTTAATGACGTTGCCACGATGATCTTATTGGATATCACGCATCATGACATATCGTTTACACAATTTACCTCCAAACTGATGATGGGCTCTGGTTTCTCGAATTTCATGTTCTTCACATCGCCTGAAATGTTGAGGTCGCCGTTGACGGTGTAATATTGCGGTTCCATATTTTCGTTGTATCCCATCAAACCGATGTGAACATCACTGTTGAACGAAACATGATCAAAATGATGAAAGTGTCACGGTAAAGAAATAACATACGTACATGTAACATTCGTCGTGATATATTATGAGAATGCAGGCAACGACAACTTTATTGTTATAAACTATGAGTGGTGTTAATTTAGTTGCGAAAGAACAATTACAATTACAATTACAGAAAAAATTAGAATCACGAGTGTACACAAAAACAAAGCAACAGCAAGCCCGTTGCCGAAAATAAGAGGAAATGACATAAAAGTTCAAACTCGATAATCACAGAAATATTATATTTTCGATGAACGGCCAATTTGTTCAGTATTATTATTAAGTAAATTAGGGTATACGTACGTTATACCATGTTGTTTCAGTTCCTCTCTCAAATCAGTGATCAATGTCGGAACCAAATCCTTGAAGACTTTTTCATTCGGTGTCACTTGTTCGATTACTAAGATAATGTCGGCTTGATCCTTTGGAATCTTGACACTAAAGCTGACACCAGCCTTGATCGTATTTTCGCCGACTTTGCAAGTCGCTAAAATATCAAAGACCGTCGAATTTTACTTTTAAAGTAAATCTAATCATAGCTAGCTTTTAAAAACCATTCGTGTTTATTAAGAAAAAGAATATATAAGACAAAGAAACATATGTTTCGTAATCCAAATCTATGACTACTATATTAAAAACAGATCAGCCGAAAAACAACTCAAGTCGAATTAAATAAATACAATTTTACAATTTGACATATTAAGCTGTTTTAATTTCTCAGCTGTTTTAATTTTTCTTCCCTTAATTTTCTGTTTCTATTTCTTGTATCTGTTTCTATTAAACATGTTTCAGAAACTTTATCCAATGAAATAATCATGAAAGTGTCACAACATATTATTAGTCGCATTTATCGTCGGATTTACTTTAATCTTTCACCAAAAGGTAAGATTATTCGTATTCTGCAATTAGTTCTTTTAGCAATTAAAAGACTAGACTCTTTTTTAGCAACTAAAAGACTATATCATATTACATTTTAACTTAGTGAACTTTTTACTTTTAATTAAATCTCTCAGCTGAAATTGTCAGATTGTTAATTAATTAACTCTTACTAGGCTTCTATTCCGTTTAACTTGATTGCAGTTGGTGCGATATACAGAGTATCCAGGATCTTTTGGAAACGAAAAATTCTGAAGTGTGATATAATCAGATGAAAGTGAGAAAAAAAAATCATGTACCATTTTGTAAAAATCGCAATAGTTATTAAGTTATTAATGATTGAAAACGATTATATTTAGAGACTCTCTTAATTGATAATTTAAACATTTGCGTACTTATTTGCAAAATGGTAAAGGACTTTTTTTATTTAAAATGTCCTAATCTACAATTATATGACGGCTATTGTATCTAGCGATAGACATGAATATATTGAACTTTAAATCCTGAATCTTAAATCTGTCACTAGGCACAGTAGCCATTATACAGGATGTCCCATTTTAAATGAGTCAGGCAAAAATCTCGAAAAATATAAAAGATACTAAGAAACATTTCAGACAAAAGTTGTATGGTTTCAAAAGAGACATAAAACAACTATATTATTTTGTTTACAGCTACCACTTTCGAGGTATTCACTGATCATTACTTTTCTTAAATGGAAATTTTTTATTATGTCATCTTGTTCTACCAATTAATTTGAACAACTTCTGTCTGAAACATTTTTTATTTGCCTAATATTTTCTAAGATATTTAAGGAAAACTTGATAACTTTCAATATTTAACTTACGATATCTCGCCATTTGTCGGAAGAAAAAGTGGTACTAGACTTGTTTATTCTATTTGGTTTCGAGAATATATTGTTACAATAGTGCCCTGACTTTTGTTAATTTAATGATTTTGAAATTTGCAAAGGTCGATAAGATTTTTGCCTGGCTCATTTAAAAGGGGATAGCTGTATACGTGTAGATTAGGTCATTGTAAACAAAAGAGTTCTTTACCATTTTGCAAATAAGTACGCAAATTTTCAAGTTATCAATTAAAAGAAATGTGGTCATTTCCAATAATTAATAACTTAGTAACTATTGCGATTTTTGCAAAATGGTACATGACTTTTCTTCTCAGTTTGATTTATCTTCACAATTTCTCATTTCCAAAAGATTCCGGACACCCTGTATAATCCGGAGAATTATGTTGATTATTTTATTTCTTTTCATTGTAGAGAAAGCACATTTGATATCTCCAAATTAATATCTTAGGATCGAAATGAATTTGTCACTGGCAACAGCTGCTCTTTTCTCGAATTAATACCACATTAATAATGCCGTACTGTGGAACCACCGTAGGTGGAAAGGAGCAGCGCAATAGCACAAGTCAACAACTCAACTTACTGCAAGTGGGCGGCATGCTGACTCTACGGACCCGCTTATAATAACAAGCAGCGTTGTAAATTGTGGCGATTAGACAAGGAGCTTGAGGATCCGTCGTGACCGCGATGTCACAAGCATCTCGATAAGCATTTGGCTTGAGGTAATTGAAGCAATTTCTAAAGTGTCAGGGAAAAACATAAATTATCACGCTGTCTCCAAGTAAAACATACGCAGCGGGACTCTCGTGCCGCTCGAGACAATTGGAAATAATGGTTTGTCTTATTAGCCACGTAATACAATATAACACAATAATGTAACATAATTGTATCTTTTTGATGATGAGAAAATGTGCGCTTACTTTAGCGTGGACTTCTCTCCGGAAAAGTATTCCGTACAGATTGGGTTACGTTGCTGAGTCTTATGATCGATCGCGTTCACAGCCGCACAGTCCGACTTCAGTTTGTATCCGTTGGCGAATTCAGTTTCGCTCTCGGTGATCTGTTTCAATTGCGAAGAAGATGTTTTAGAGATCATTGCAAACACATAAATTTCCCGCCATCCTTATCTCACGAAGTCTCCTCGTTTCAGCGCGATCGCATCGCGCGGTCTCATCGTTAAAAACAGGGAACACTTAATTTCATTTAAAGATTATCAGATGGCAGAAGAAAAAGTTCGCGTATTGAAATGTAATTTTTTTGTTGGACAAAGGAAAGAGCAGAAGAAAGGAAAGTGGATATCGTCGGTCGTTCTAGTTTCAAACTACTGGACTCAGATATCCATCTCGTAACAAAAGAACGCCGATCCCTTTGGGATTTCACGATCCCTCCGAGAGAAGCGCACCATTCCACGTCGACATTTGTTTATTGATCGGAGCGAGAACTTTTGAATAAAACCAAAAGCAAAAACACATACAAAGGAGGAGATGATTTATAGTCTCACGATAGTATCGTGCGAAGTTCTATAAATAGAAGCACAACGGCAAAGAAAATGAGGAACGAGCTTTCAGTTGAAAACAGATTATGTTAAATATTTATAAAGTGTTTACACCTTCAATTCAACTTTCGACGCGTTCGCATGATCAATTTCGACTTTCTTTGTCATTATGAAATTATACGAAGGCGGCTTCTTATCTTATTTATCTCCGTTAATAAAGCGCAACTTGCGAATAGTCTATTTTCCTTTAATCAATCGCGTTTCTTTATCTCTCGATAGAATGTGGACTAAGGAAGAATTATTTTAGTTCTTTATAAAAAAATCATTTCGAATGAGCTAATTGTAATTTATATATAATTTCCATAATTAAAATTTTTTATGAAGAATATATTCCTCCACCTCTAGAATTATGGAAGAAGTTAAATTGGAGTCGAAAATTCTGATAGAAAATAATGTGGAAAGATCATTGGCAATTCAACTTTCTAAGTTTTAATGTTGCATTTCTTCATAACTAAACTTTGATTTTCCACTTTAATCGAGTATACTTTATCTAAAGTTAACTGAGAAAATAATTTTGTTATCTATTTCTTAAAATTCAATTCGCGAAAAAGTTTTATCAGCTATATCCAAAAGAAAATAATTATATATAATTATATGTCAATTTTGTCTCTTGTACGGTTATATATAATCATACGTTATTATAAATACTTGTATAAAAAAAACTATTGTACATATATAATTTAAGTATATTATAATGAGAACTATATTATAATTATATAATATAATTTAAGTATATTATAATGAGTAACTATATTATAATGAGAATTTCTGAGAAGTAGAAGTGTTCGAATATTTCGTAATTCACCTAAAGCGTAGTTCCTCCAACTCAGGCGGAATAGAAAATCATCATAAAACATCGTCATAAAATGATAAGGAAAATTTATTTTTCATCATGATTCAGTCATTTTCTCGTCATTTTGGTGTCATTGTGATATTCTATTCTACTTGTATATACTTGTATAATCTGAACATTATAAAAGTAGAATAGAGGAATCACTACACGCTGACAAGAGTAATAGGATTAGGCAGATACTATGTATTAAGGTAACATATAATACATACAAGTAAACTATTTATATTTGTGACAATCGTGTTGTAAACGTTTAATTGAGCGAAATCGTGCTTGCCTTTTTTGCATTTAACAGCATTACTCTCGTGAAGATATATCGATCAATTTTATTTATATTTTAACATACTGCCATGAAGCAGGACCCGTGAACATATATTTGCTTGGGTTGCAACTCGAAGATGTCATAATATTTTCATATTAGGATTTTCGATTCCAATTAAGTTTCAGAATATACCACTGAAAATTGAACAACAATTTCGGGACACCCTGTATAACTTGATAATTGCCGAATGCCGAACAGCCTGCATCGGGAAGAGACCGTTTGTTGGTTCTATATGAGATTCAATCGGTTTGACGATAGCATAAGCTTACCTTTCCAGACGGCAACGTGTAGTCGTCGTAGCACTCGTGGTTACCGTCGCCGAGGAGACCGCGTAATCTTCCGTGATAGAAGCCGGACACAACGAGCGAACAGGCCATCGGCATTTTATAATTGCATGTCAAAAGCACCCCGTATTTAGAATCGATTTTAACGATCTCCATCGGGATAATGTATGCGTGCAGGTTCTTCGTTTTAGCTGGATATTCGGCTGGCTTGTTATTCACCAAGATCTGAAAAAGAAGAGAAAGAAAGATACACGTAATGAGATGAGCGAGAATTGCGCGAATAAGTGTCGGCGATACGCAGGGCAATCTTTTCGTCAAAATGAGAATGAGTAGCGCGTGAAACGTAGTTCGGACAAGTAGGCCAAAGGAACGAGGGGCAATTTTGTGTTCGCGGTAATAAGGAAGGCTCACGCGCTGGGGGAGAATGAACAGAGGCGATTTTTATTCTTCCCTCGTTCGCGCGGTCTGTCTATGAGGGAAGCAATGAGAGGATAATAGAGTTTGACTTGTCAGCGAAGTTTGAAGCCCCTTCGTAAACTTACAGAGTTACAGTTCGATACGGGATTGCATTATAAGACTCGTACATAGAATACCGTATGAGCTATGGGTCCTATCTACGGTTCCTCTCCTATCTTTTTTCTTTCTTCTTCCTTCTCTCTCTCTCTCTCTCTCTCTCTCTCTCTCTCTCTCTCTCTCTCTCTCTCTCTCTCTCTCTCTTTCTCTCTCGCCGCCGTCTGGCCCGATTTCACGATTCACGTTACATACATTCAGCGACTTGCCAACATACAATAGGAAATTGGTTAGAAGATAGGAGAAATGAACTTACGTCGCCATTGTTCTTCAGCGTGATGCTCTCTTTAGGCTCCGTAACAGTCACGCTAATCAGATTGCCTTTGTTAAAGTTCGCTACGACAGAGAAATTGCCATCCAACATGTCTTGGGCGAGAATGTAGCTGCAGTCGCCGGGCATGCTGAAGGATTTACCGTCGAAGGTGAAGAAGTGCCCACCATCGACAACGAATCCAATCTTGCTGAAGGGAGGTATTATGTCTGCGGGATTTACGTTGGGCCTATTTGACAAAATAGAAAGCAATGTGAGTGTCCTCATCTTGAGAATTATCCCTTACGGAAAAAAACTCAAAAATACAATCAAAATAACACTCAATTTACGCATAAATTCGAACACCCAATTGAAAATAACACTCGACTTGAGTGTAACCCTCATACTTGAATGTTGATATGAGTGCTGTAGTCTGTTCATCAAACTGCACATTTAACTTATTGTTCTACTAAGCTTTAGTGTAACAGCTGCTTCAGATTAAAATGCAAATACAATGTTACCCTCAACTTGAGAATTAATTACAGGAGAGCGTTCGAGAACATCATCCGAGTGCTCTCTCTTTCTCTTTATCTCACTTCTGTATTTCTTTTATTTCAACGCAGTGAGTGCACCCAAGTGACGTTTTTTAATAGACTCATTGGCTGCGTTCAGCAGAACAAAGAGATCAGTGAGCGCTTAGTGATTCTCGCTCCTGATTGGTAAATACTTCTGGGTCTATGAAGAATCTAAAAGAATGCTCCAATCACAGACAATAATCACTAAGGCCCAGTTCCACAAAATCAAGTTTAAACCGTGATTATCTGAACTGATGTTACATTTAACGGTATAGTTAAACTTACATATATCGCGTTCCACATGATGTTTTTACCTGTAGTTTACTTAAACCTATAGTCTGTATAAAGAAACTGTTAAAGACTTCTCTTTCTTTTCAAACGTAGACTATGATTGGTTATTGCTAAAAGTGAAAAGAGGGAAAATTGAAATAAGCTGGATGCTATGATATCTAGTAGAGAACAATATCTGTTTCGTATCAAGTAAACACTAACCAACATTAACATTTGCTGTATTTGTATATAAGTATTAATTTATTAAAAGGGTGGAAGTCCAATGTTAATAATAATCAATTAGTTTATATTATTGATTTGGTTGAATTTATCATATAATAATTGACTTTTATATATAGTTGCTACTCTGGTTTAGAATATAATCTGTCGAAGCAAAAAAACCCAATATTTTAAATTAAATTTATATACTTACTGTTCTGTTTTATGAGAAATTTTATGCTCGATTTCTGCTAGAACTGCAATAACAGATTCTTTTGATAATCTAAATCGTGCATGAAAATCGACATTATCAAATTCTTTCAAATATGATGGTCATCTTATTCTTATATTTCTTGTCCGTCGATAAATTAAGTTTTCAAAATCTTCATCTTCAGATGAAGATAATATGTATTCTAAAGCCATATCTCTTTGACGTTCAAACGTTCAAAATATTTGTCAACTGAACTCCAAAAGTGAGATAGTCATAAATTTGTTTCTCAAATTAATGGTGCTGCAGTATTAAACTTCGTTTAAATTCATTAAACGCCCGAAGTTTTGGATTTAACTTTAACTATGAGAAATCAACGTTAACCATGGTTTAAGGCAGTTGTGGAACGCAATTTTTCGTCTAAACTAGGGTTAACGAGTTAAACTTCGTTTATAGTAAGTTGTGGAACCGGGCCTAAGCGCTCACTGATCATTTTGTTCTACTAAACGCAGCCATTGTCTTCCACGTGAGGTGATACGATTGATACGCATACGTTCTATACACCGATCATAGAAAAATCCCTTGCGATTTATGTGAGTGCATTGCTACCATAAACATAGTATGAATAAACAGACCATGAACCTCTTTTCCCTATATGAGAACATGACGCCTATGAATAATGGGAGTGAGATAAAGCAGGAAGTGCATATTCATTGTCTCTGTCTTCTCGCGCCTGTGCAAATTGACCATAACCTCAGAATCCAATCAGTTTATCGGAGAAAGGTTAGAGAAGATAGAGAAATAAAAAGAATGAAGAGTGTATAAAGTATAATAATATTGGCAAATGTGAAGAAAACAGGCTCCCTCATCGATTTGCCTGAAACTTTGGAATATCGCATATTTTAATGCGGCAAACACAAATCTGAAAGTGAAAAGTGAAATAAAAGTTATGAAGTGCTGAAAAGTGATGGTTCTGAAATTAGGAAATCTGTCATACTGACAATATGCAGCAACATGAACATGATTGTCATATGAGCAAGAGGTTTAACCATTGCTCATTGTTTATTAAAGAATTATTAAAAAAAGAAGTTTCATAGGTAGAGCCTATTTTTGACACAATGTACATTAAAAACGGTTAAACAGTATATATGAGCGGAAGAGAAGCTTTGCTCCTTCTCTGACCTCTTCCCCAAAAAAACCTAATCTAACCTAACTTATTGCATCTTTATATATTATTAGACGTTCTTGAAAAAAGTTCTTGAAAAAGTTTCCTTGAGGTCCTTGAGGTCACTTAGCTTAACTTAACTCATATCTTTACATATGATTAGGTGTTATGAGTTTTAAAGAGATCTTTTCAACAACGTCGAACAACATATAAAGATGCAATAAGCTAGGTTAGATTAGATTTTTTTGGGAAGAGGTTTCACTCTTCTCTCGTTCAGATGTACTGTTTAACATTTCTTAATGTACATTGTGCGTGTAATGTATATTTAATGTACTCTGTGAAAAAATAGGCTTTATCTGTGAAATTTCTTTTTTTAATAACTTTTTAATAAGCAATGAACGATGGTTAAAACCTCTCGAATGTTACTTAGGAAGTATATTAAAATAACATCCTGAATAAATTACCAAAGTCCCTGCGCGAGGTAAACATCTCACGTTACTACGTGCATGTATACAGGGTGTTCCGTAAGTCGAGGTCAACCGCTCGAGAGATGAATGAGGAACCACAAATAAGAAGGAAAGTTGATACAAACATAGGTTCAAAAATGCGTTGTTTTCGAGTTATAGCCATTTTTATGTTAAAATTTGAAATTGCTTTGCTTTCGAATTTTTTTGGTTCTGGAATTTCGATGGTTTTTATGAGTTTCAAAACACAACTAAAGTCAAATAAAAGTTGCGGGCTGCTTTAGTACTACCCAGGATGCACCGCGTGGAGGTATAGCATCCCTTGGCAGAAATCAGGACCTCACAGTTCGTCACTCCTGTGGTAAATACCACAGTGTTATTGTACAAGCTTTGTTTTCGAACACCTCATATAATTTTTACGTTCACTCACACACACACACACACACACACACACACACACACACACACACACACACACACACACATACACGACAGAGAGGGTTTGGAGTCACTAAATACCACAGGAGTGACGAACTGTGGAGTCCTGATCTCTGCCAAGGGATACTAAGCGAGCTGTACCTCCACGCGGTGCATCCTGGGTAGTGCTAAAGCAGCCCGCAACTTTTATTTGACTTTAGTTGTGTTTTGAAACTCATAAAAACCATCGAAATTCCAGAACAAAAAAAATTCGAAAGCAAAGCAATTTCAAATTTTAACATAAAAATGGCTATAATTCGAAAACAACGCATTTTTGGACCTATGTTTGTATCAACTTTCCTTCTTGTTTGTGGTTCCTCATTCATCTCTCGAGCGATTGACCTCGACTTACGGAACACCCTGTATATTGTATTTTTATGTATGTAAGTGATTTATAGTTTTAGTCCCAATCTAATTATAATAATCTTGGACTTTGTATGTAAGGCGAAGATTTAATATATACGTGCGTTTCAAACTTACGTTTTTCACATGTACATATGGCTACGGATCATATTCATGTTGCTGCATATCGTCGGTATGATAGATTTTTTAACTTCAAAACTATCACTTCATAACTCTTATTTTACTTTCAGATTTGTGTTTAGCTCAATAAAATACGTAATATTTCAAAGTTTCAGGTAAATCGGTGGGGAAGCCTGTCTCTTTCACATTTACTATAATATTGAACGAGAAAATGCCCCGAAAGTATGCTGTATGGCGAACAGGTGCAAAACTATGACGTGTATGTATATATATATATATATAGTTTGCTCCCTTACTTAAAATTTTCAAATTAACTTAAAATTAGTTATAGTTAACTGTAAGTGATTTATAGTTAACTATAAGTAACTTTAAGTTAATTTAAACATTTTAAAGTAATTTTTCCTAAGAGTTTTTCTTTAGATAAAAAGAACAGATCCATGATTATATATATTATATGTATTAATTTCTAGCGGCTGACTATATTTCCTTACAAGGCCCCAATAATATTTCTTTATAAAACTCCGCTAATATTTCCTTATAAGACCCTCATAAAATATTTATTATATAAACCTCTTAGGGATCATTTATGCATATTAGAGCCTGATTAATCTTAAGGAAAATTAATCAGGTCTTTTTTACAGTCTTATTCATTTTTTACCCGAGTCATATGTTTTCAGCAACGATTTGATAACGGCGTTATTTTTATTCATTATTTGCAACAACGGTAATAAAATAATAATTTCCTGTGTAAAACGATAATAATTGTTATCATTGTTTTGCATATATACAATAAGGAACATTCATATAGAATGGTAATAGTAAATCGCGCGAAAAAGTGGAAAGGTTATCAAAACTTGGCGAGAAAAATAATGGAAATTGCAACGACTCGTTATCTTTTGAATAACGGCTGCGGTAGAACGAGTTATTTTTTTCAGAATAAGCAACAAGTAACTTGTAAAAAATGACTTTCACAACCTTAGTAATTAATCAATTGTTAATCACAAATTTTAATTCTTAGGACAAAAACATAAAACAAAACGAATATATATATGTTGTAATAAAAAAAAAAGATAATAAGAGGAAATGAGCGAAGTTGAACAAATAAGGACGTATTTCAAATACCTGTACGTATAATATATATCTTTGAGCGTTGGTAATTCGTTGCTGCGTAGCAGATTGAGGAGAGATACTCTTAGCGCAGTAATCTCTGGCAATTTCATCATGCCAATATTGAAGGGAAATTCAGTTTCCAGCAAGTTGTACAGATTATTCGTGTGGATTTCCGATTCCAAAAGTTTCACGATGGATTGGAGTGCGTCGACCAAGAGGTTGTAAATTTTCCTGACCTCAGCGGGATCATCAACCTGTCACGCGAGACAAATATATTTTGCCGTTTAAGTAACTTTACTTATAAATTGTAACGAGAAATGGCGTATATTACAGGCCATTTAGAGACCTATACCTTTTCACGCTTGGCGTGTTTTGAGATATACTGTTGAATAGCATCGAGCAGCTGCCGAAGTTCGTCGGTCGGCATCGTAGTCTTTATGGTGTTGCAAACATCTTCGATGGAGGTCATTATGGTTTCCGGTATTTGGAATTTAAGGATCTCCTGGTACTTTTCCTTAACGATCTCGTAGATCGGCAACGCTTTTACCTGATCGATCAGCAATACGACAAACTCATCGACGTCCTTCTTGATTTGGCTGACGGCCTTAAACACGATTTTGGCGATATCCTGCAGGAGCTCTGACATCATAATAGCTAATTCTTTAAATTCCTCCTGGTAGTCGTTAATCATATCGAGCACTACATGAAGATAGGTGCTCAGGATTTTGACGGTACTCTCGAAAATATTCTCAAAACCATGGACCATTTCCTTATACAGTTTCATGAATTGCGGGAAAACAGTCTCAAACGCCTCTTTTAGCTTGGAAATTAGGTCCTGGTATTGCTTACACAGATTCTCTAATTGTGTGGTTATTTGCTTCATTCTGTCCGCTACAGCGGAGATGATAGATCCAAAGTGCTTGTCCCTAGAAGAATACGATCGATAGCACACAACAGGCCGACGAATACTTTAATTTCAGCGCACAAAAATATCAGTACGATGTATCGCGTGTATGATCGTTATTACTTGTATGTAAACGCGATATTATATGTGCTCGTAAGTGTATGTAAATATATGTCCCATTTCTACCGTGTCATAATTTGATAATAAATTTGTTGGCCAATTTAAAGTCAAATTTTCCTTATTGAAAATATCGATGCGATAATAATCTTTGAATTGTACAAATGATTGAAAAAAAATAAATATTAAAATTACGTCTTTAGATAGTTTCAGGTTGGTAGAGAGATAGAGAGAGAGAGATATAGAGAGAGAGAGAGAGAGAGAGAGAGAGAGAGAGAGAGAGAGAGAGAGAGAGAGAGAGAGAGAAGAGAGAGAGAGAGAGAGAGAGAGAGAGAGAGAGAGAGAGGAGAGAGAGAGAGAGAGGAGAGAGAGAGAGAGCGAGAGAGAGCGAGAGAGAGAGAGCGAGAGAGAGAGAGCGAGAGAGAGAGAGCGAGAGAGAGAGAGCGAGAGAGAGAGAGCGAGAGAGAGAGAGAGCGAGAGAGAGAGAGCGAGAGAGAGAGAGCGAGAGAGAGAGAGAGAGAGAGAGAGAGAGAGAGAGCGAGAGAGAGAGAGCGAGAGAGAGAGAGCGAGAGAGAGAGGAGAGAGAGAGGCGAGAGAGAGAGAGAGAGAGAGAGAGAGAGCGAGAGAGAGAGAGCGAGAGAGAGAGCGAGAGAGAGAGAGCGAGAGAGAGGAGAGAGCGAGAGAGAGAGAGAGAGCGAGAGAGAGAGAGCGAGAGAGAGAGAGAGAGAGAGAGAGAGAGAGAGAGAGAGAGAGAACCCTTATCTTAATAAAATGTTAATCTTGGGACTTAATTCTAACAATGTAAAATATTAAAAATTGAACACTTCTCAAAAGCGATTTTTCTCCCCCTTCTCCCCTCACATCTCAGGATTTTCACTTGTATACATATACAAAAAGAGAAAACTATCTGCGCGAATTATTCAAAGAGAATAATTTGAAGATTCAAGAGAATCTACTGTTAGAAAAAATACAAATCGATGGAAATAGGATATATTCTATATATGCAATGTTAAATGATGTTATTATTAAGTTCATACAAGGCGGCCTGGATGTCTTTCATGGTCTGGTCAGCGTTGAGCTCGTTCTGTAATTTAGTCAATTCCTGTTTGTAATAATCTCGAAGACCATCCATGTTCGGTTTGGCGTTCTTCAACTGTTTGGTGAAGTCTTTCAGTTCTTCTTGTATTTCATTGTCGATTTCATCGCCAATAGCCTTGAGGTGATTTAACATCTCGGCGTTTTGGTGTCGTACACGTTCCTAAATTATATCATCGTCGGTGAACCGAAAAACTGAACACTGCGAATATCGGGGTCGTGACAGCGCGACAACGGTCATACTCACCATTGTATAAGCAATGTTGTCCTTGTTATAGCCGAAGTCAGGCCTCAGGAACTTTCCTTCGTCGAGATGGATCAATCCGTGGAACAGTTCCTTCTTCTCACCATCCTTGAAAGAGTTAGCGTGAATCTCGGCCAACTGTCCGAGCACGAGGCGTCCGTCAGCGGTTATCTTCGTGTTGGGATTATCTGAGAGATTGTCGCGAGATTACTACAAATTCGTACAGCTTCTAGAGTTTTGCAAATATAATTCGTTATCTGATTTATATTTTCTTTAATTTGTGCGCTATGTATATCCGATTCACACTTGCATCTTTATTGTCATTTGATTTATTCAAATTATTTGACGTTTGTCATAAAAACGGATTCGTATGACTGATTTGCGCATTATTTTTTCCATCGGAATGACAAACATTTGATTGATCTTTGGGGGTGATATCCCAGACCTTGTTCCATTCGATTTAATGAGTTTCACGGGCGACATCTCTTGCGTAAAGTTTTATTGGTTTTTTAAATCTATAACTTGTTTGAATAATTCATCTAATGTTATTGATGATTTAAACTCTGAAAATTTCTCAATAACTCCACTTAATCAGAAAAATGTATAATTTTCCCACAGGATAATAGTCAACAGGACCAAGTTTGAAAAATAATATATTATTTGTAACATGTGTGTTACTCTTTCCTAATTATTAATGGAATAGGCGGCAGCAAATTGTGTAAAACGCAAATTGTAAAGAAAGAAGATATCAAAAAATTCGGTGAAGAAAATAACGAAAATCGTAATGATCTTTTACTTTTTGAATAACGATAACAATGATGACTTATTCTTCAAAATAAATAATGTTAACAAATCGTTTTTTTAGTTTCACTAGGTAATAGTAGGAAAGCATACATATCAACATATGACGAGAAAGAAAGTTACTTTATTTATTATAAAAATGTATTATTTATAAACCGGAAATTATAAAATAATTTTCTTTATTTTTGTTCATTTCTTCATAAGTTATGATAACGGCAACCAATTATTCTTCTAAAACCAATAACTGTAACTACAAGTTACCTTCTTTCTCTTCAATGTTTAACCAGTAATCATAGAGTCGCACATTACACTGAATCTTTTTAATGCTTTTTTATATTGAATGTTATATGTTATAGCTGTTATATTTGAATAACGAGATTTCAAAATGTGAATATTCGAACATTCAAATATTCGAAAGATGCTAATCGCATAGAATTTTGTTACACTCTCCGAAAAAAAAGAAAAAATTAGAGCTTTGATGTTTCAAACAGAGTTCGAAGATTCGGAAATCAAATTGTCCGAAACTTCAAACTTCAGCTTCAAACATGGAGTTACACCGAAGCTCCGTATATATCAAATAGCATCACTTCTGGAAGGCGGAGATTTACTCGTAAGAAATAACTTTCCCAGAATCTCGAGAATTACCTACCTTGCTGATACTCCAAATACTTGAAAGTATTCCGATCGTGCACCTCGAAGTTCACCACGATAGGCTTGTTACCGGCTACAGCAACCTCGGCGTCGAACTTCTGCAAGTCCTTCTGTAACTGGAGTTTCGCGTCGACTCTGATGACCTCCTTGTTGGGCGCGGTCGCCAGAAGATATAACTCCGTGGAATCCGCGAAGAACAGGACGCCCACGCTCTTTGGTTTCTGATGTCGGTCCAGGTACGATAAGAAACTACCGAAACTGACCTTGTATTTCGTCAGTGCCACGTGCGACTTCAGATCGACTTTCAGATGCTGCCCACGGCTGGTCATCTCGAATAAACTGGTAATATTGTAGCCTGAATCGATTTGCTGTTCGTGCACTTTCGCCACTATGGTGATTTTCTGCGTTTTCTTGCTGAACACGTCGATATCTACGTTTACGTCCAGCAAGTGCTCGCCGCCATGGTGCAGCCTACCCTTCACCGTCATGTCCTGTGACAAATATCAGCCTGTGTTATCACGGATCTTGAAGTCTGACGTGTCTGACGCCAGGAGTTATTCGAGTCATTTATTCAAGCAAAATTAAAATTTAAACAAATAACTTCGCAATATGCGACGTAAGGACGAAGTACGAATTTAATGTGCGGAAAAGCAGATCAACGAGAACATATACTCGTCTGCTCTTTCTCTCTCTGCTCTGCCCCCCTCCCCCCTCTCTCTCTTTCCTTTCCCTTTTTTATAGCCGTCGAGCCGCTCGGCGAAACTCGATGTTCCCGCTAGATTGCGAGAAAATCGAAGGTAAGGTAACGGCTTTACCGGGAGGTGTTCTCTTTCCAGTTTTATTTTAGAACCCTACGACCTTATTCGCGCGAAGATTGGGAGTAAAATCGCGAATGTTTTTTCAGAAGGAGTCTGTGCGTTTATTCGGACGTGGTTTTCATAATATTGTAACGGCTTTAAGAATTACTGAATTGGGGAAAATGTGTGCATTTTTTTTGAATACCCAATAACCAGAAAATATTGAGACAAATTAAGGTAACTTTAAGACATCATTTAGACATGTACATGATATGGATACATACCTTCGGTTGTGACGGGTACACAAATTTCATCTCTCCATTGACGGACAGGCTCTTCTGGTCGACGTTGGCATCACCAGTCGCGATAAGAGCGGTCTTTTCGGTCGGTTTGTTCTTTCTGTCCATATAAAGGGCTATTTCCATTTTGTACGTTCCGCTTTGTTTTGTTTTCGGCACATCATATACAGCAATAAGAGCCAGTTCACGAGTGGGCAATGTTAAAACAATACCTGTGAAAAAGAGCGCGATTGTTACTTTTTCGCCCTATCGAGTCCGTATAGAAATTTTTCCAGAGCCTTTCCGCAGCTTAAATTGCGATTAGGGGAGTGAGTATACCCAATTTTATATTCTAAACAAATTATTTCCAAAACAAATTATTTCACTATCATACGAAATTGGGAATAAAATTTTTACCTCAGACCTCGACTCGAAAATTGGGCAAAAAATTTGTGGAATAGCATTTTTTAACATAAATTTTCATTTTTTTAGCGCAAATTGTTCTTAGGACAAAGTCGATGTACTTTTATGGAATCAAACATGGAATTCCATTTTTATATCAATTATCAAATTTAATGGAATAAAAATTTAAATAGAAGTACTCAAAATGCGCAGTTTAATATTTATATCTTTTTTATATACTTATATTTGTGAAGTATAAATATTTTTCAAATGTTCCATATATGATTTCTCTTTTTGATGTAAAGAATAAGTAAAGCTACCGTACCGCTTTCCTTAGGATGATCGTACACGCGGTAGGTGTATTCAGACTTGTCTTTCGACGAATGCAGATACAAGTTGACGGAATGATCGAGCAAATGCTCATTGCATTCTGTGTTCGTCTTCAGTCCAAATTCCACCGGCACGTTGAATTTCTTCAGGTCTACTTCCACCGTTAGCTGATGCTTCAGATAATTCTTATCTGCAAACGATTTAGGGCAAACATGTATGAACAAGGGAAAAGATAATTGTCTTGCATGAAAAACCAAACATACTGAAGGAATGGAGGAAAGATGAGGTAGTAGAAGGAAAGGGAGAAATAATTCTTTATCGTTGATTACCATTCCCAAATTAAAGCATCTATTGAAACAGGTTTTCGCGTTGCTGATGTTCGATATTTATCCGCGACTTTAAACCCGACTGTTTGCTAACACGCTATATCAATAGAGATCGCACAGTAATAACCGTACAATTTGTTGCGGGAATAGCAGATTATAAAGTCATCGTCGATCTTGAGTTGTGTAATCGGATCTCGTCGAAAGCAGCCGAGAAGCGCGATGACATTCCGGCCGATAAAATTAATCAGGGATAAAATCGTTGCTTCGATCGGAACGCTCGTTTGAGTATTTCTTTAACAGCCGCCGGGGAGGATCGTAAAGAGATCGTGACCGTTAACGTTACACGTCGGAAGCTCGTTAAACTCTCGTCTGCGATTACGCGACTACGTTACGTCCTGAGCTCGACCCTCGAGCTCGTCTTAAATCGCGAGAATTTTATTTCCCGTGAAAAAACAACTCGAGGTTCAGCTTCAGCCAAAACGAACGAATTGATCCCGAGGGAGAGAGAGAGGAGAGATAGAGGCAGAACGAGAGAGGAAGTGTGAGAGAGAGAGAGAGAGAGAGAGAGAGAGAGAGAGGAAGAGAAAGAGGGATTGATGGAGGAGGAAGGGTGAGGGAAAGAAAGGAAAAAAAGAGGCAAAGTAAACTTTATCGTGCTATACGTCATTGCGCGGCGCTAGAAAGGATTAAGATGCGTACGTCAGCGGAGCACACGCCCTTGCGGCGTGACGTCATTCAGCAACGGCGCAACTTATTTTTTTCTTATATCGCTTTGCAGGTGTACGCGCCGCCGGTCACGCCTGTCTTTTCGCATCGCGGCGTTCTCGCGACGCGATCTCGCGTTTGTCAACACCCTCTTCCTCTTTCTCTCTCTCTCTCTCTCTCTCTCTCTCTCTCTCTCTCTCTCTTTCTCTCTCTACCTCTCTCTCACTTTTTCAAGAGTACAAAAGAGAGGGAGGGAGGGAGAGAAGAAGAGAAATAGGGAAAGGAAAAAAAGTAGAGGAAGAAAAAGAAGAAGAAGAAGAAACGAAGAAAAAGGAAAGGAAGGCAGGCAAAAAAGCAAAGAAGGAAAACCAGCGCACCGGCGAGTTAATGCAGCGACGCGCCGTTGCACTCTACGCCATGCAACGGCGCAACCGTGTGAGAGTGCGATTCCAGGGTGCCTCTATTAATAACTGAGGCGAGGCACGAATTAGGTGCAGATCACGCGAGAATAGAATGCTATCGACCGGATGATCTATAGGAGTAGGACCACAAAACGCCTTCGAGAGCGGCCAGGTAGCAAGCAGCAGACCTTCTCCTTCTTCCCGTCTCACCCTGAGTTTCGCCCTCACCACGGCGCGGCGAGATACCCCGTTACGTACGCGCGTACGCGGGATATTGCGACGTATTGCGCATTCATGCGAAATATCGTCGTGCGTGCGTCGCGTCGCGTCGTGTCGCGTCGTGTCGCGGGACGACGTCTCAGACATCTCGACGTCCGCGTCGGCCTGGCGGACCCACGGAGGGAGTTCTCTCTTAATTATTCAGAAAGGGGCGGCGAGCCCCTTATAATGTATACGAAGGTGGACGGACGGAAGCGTGTACGACGCGATAAGGATGATTTCCTGGGAGAGACGGGGAACGATACATCGTCGTCGCGCGATCGTGTGTTTCGGTATCTCCACGCGTTTTTATGACGGGGGTTCCCGCGCGAAGAGCGCGGCGTGCCTCCTTTATTTTTACGAATTCAGGCTTCTCTTGTGCTGCGCGAAGCGTGTTTTAACAAAGGGTCGGCTCGACACGCAAGCCGGCCGTATTATCGAGGCGGTGTGTTACCAGGAACCGCCAATACCCCCGTCGTTCTCTTATTTGCGGAACGTGTCTTTAATATAATTCCATTGCTGTAAATTTCAATTATGTAGGCCCCGGAACAACGAATCGTTTGATTTTCATTAACTATAAACACTCTTCCTTACTTTAACATTTGCGGCAGGCAAAGATACTCGATATAAATTATCTAGTACAATCTTCGAGTGATCTTTTTTTATGATAACACACAAAGGATCGTGAAAGTATATCGGGTGTCGAGAAAGTACGGATCATATTAATATTATCTGGAAATGCGAAATGTACAAAGACAAGATATGACGCGTAAAAACGTAAACTGAATGTTTTGTGGTTCGATCTTCACAGTCAACGGGAACGACAAAAGAGAGAATATCACTAAGTGCAAGTCTGCGTAAAAGCCGCAGGAGGACACATTTGATCTTCATTAACTATGAATCCTTCTCTTCTAGACATCTTAAGGTTTGCAAGGTGCAAATATTTAATATACGCTATTTAAGATAATCCCAAGCTACTTTTCTTCTGCAGCAACAAGCAATGAGCAAAGTTACACGCATAAAAAAATAAATTGAATCTTCGTTGACCCGAGACCTTCAACGTTTAAAAGTCGACCACATTCAACGGAAAGGCAAAACATCTTAAAGCAAACAAGTGCAAGTGTCCTGTAAGCAGCAGGAAAGCACACGAAGTTAGAATTTATCAGGGAATTTTATTCGGGCTGGACTCGTTCTCAGATAGTCGGACGTACATGAGCAATTTCCGTTGCGCGAATGTCAGCGCAGAAAGCACGTGACCAATCTTGAAAGATAAATCGAGACTTACGGTCGGTGTCGTAGCTCGATTGGAGTTTAAAGTGAGCGCAGTCCTTGCTCTGCTCGCAGTAACTGTTGGAGACGAGGATTTCCTTGTTCGAGAACTTGAAATCGCCCACGATCGCGACCGGGTCGAATTTGGCGTTGAGGACCATCACCACGCCAGCCTCACCGTCCTTCTCGCGAGTCAATCGCTGATGGGTGTACTTGAAGGAAGAGCTCCTCGTGTTCTCGCCTATCTTCAGATTGCCGTTGCCTTCGACGATGATCTTGCCGGCCTCGTCGCGTCGTTTGTAGCTCGTGCTGCGGAAGAATCGTAATCTTACATCTCAGACGTATTTCGAGCATCGGCGAGCGTGAAATGAGCCGATCGCCAATCGCGCAAATACACGTGTCTCCCTTTACTTTCTCTTTGTTGACCTTTTCATTTCGACCTTTTTCATTTCGATCGATCTGCAATACGTCGAGACATTTACCTCCTGCGTTGGACGGCGCTTATCGCGGCTTTTTACAACGACGGCTGGCGTGATCGATGACTTTTCTGATTCATTTTCCGACTTTTCATGACGGATCTCAACGTGGTGGCGATAAAAGGACCGCCACCACGGTGAAAATGTGTACGTGAGGACCGTTGGAATTAATTTTAGCGGTCAAATCGATGAAATTACACGGCGAAGTGAAATAGCGAACAGAGGAGAAGGCACCTGCTCCGTATATCTTTCTCTGATCTCCTTTAAAAATAACCTCGTGCCCTTTCGTTAATTACAGGAGAACATCTTTACTCTTTGTTTTGTCGTCGCGTAGGCGATCGATCTTTTACTTCTTTTATGTACGCGCGAAAGCCATGTCCATGTATCGCTATTAGTTAGGAAGCGTCGTTCTGCATTACGATGGGAATATCGACCATATGACAAAGCGATGGAACGTACGAAACCATGAATGTAAGCTGAGGATATATGTTGCAGCGAATCAAGCAGACACACCCGCGTTCCAATTGCGGATCCATCCCTTTTCTTTCGCACTTAAGTGTCCATTATTGTTCCATCGAGTGATCGTCAATCATTCTTCAACGATAATCTAATTGCGGTCGTATTGAATTATTGCGTCAGTTATCGCGCGAGTTTCTTTCCCGCGATATGTCTGTGTCGAGGCAAATTGCTTCCTGATTTGAAAGAAAAAGGCTATAGTTCCGAAAAAGTTTAACCTCTGATTTTTATGAAATTTGATGAAATCGTTCTAGATATTCCCAAAATAACATATCCGGTTTTTTAGCGCAGCTGAAAATTAACTATGATACTGCTACAATAATGGCTTTTTTTGTGGTAATTATACAGTTTCTTTGCCTTCTGATTTCGATGAAACTATGCTTCATCTACTCGTTTTTGAAAGACAAACAACTTTTCTATCTGCAAAGATCGTCGCTTTCCATGGCGAAGCGAAATCTTCGCAAACGGCTGACGGAGGTTCCGGGGGACGAAAAGGAATCAGAAGGTAACATGCAAATAATAAAAACGAAATCTATATCTCGTCAAATATATACTGTTTTTATGTTATGTATTTCATATCTTGCGTCAAGGCCTCGCTAATCTTTTCAGTATGTATGTTAGTATATCATAGACCCAGCAAACACAATATTGCATGTAACGTGCATGTTAGTTGTAATTTCCTACTCAACAATATAACTGTTATATAACACATGTGTTGTATAACAGTTATATTGTTGAGTAGGAAATTACAACTAACATGCACGTTACATGTAATATTGTGTTTGTTGGGAGATTCATCTATTTAATAAGACGAAGATTTAGTAGATATATTCATATTAATAGATACAAATAAGTTGTTGCTGATTCTTGCAAGTTCCATCTAAAAACTTCCAAATTTCGTAAAAGAAGCTAGACAACTACTTTCACCACATGATTTGTTACGATTATGAATGATCTCGGTAAAAATAATGTTGTTAAGGGTTAGAGATAGGGTAAAGTTTGGTTAGGTTTGGAGGTTTGGTTTGGTTAGGTTTGGTTAGATCTGGTTAGGTAAAAAATAATGTTTTCCATTTGATTTATTATATATATGACAGTGCTTTGATATATGTTTCTTTCCGCAACATGTTATAAAGTCGAGATTATTACTCTTCCGCAATATTCATGTGTATAAGTTTGGAAATTAATAAATTTATTAATTTAGTAATATCAAAGTTAATCTCAGGTTCAGTTGCGTCAAGAACCTTTTGGATATGTTATTTAGAACAATTTCACCAAATTCCATGAAAATTGGAGGTTGGACCTTTTCGAAATTACATCCATAAAAGGTATTGAAACCTTTAACCCTTCAACTGTACGTGGCGAAAGGGAGCAACTCACGAAGAGACTAAATATCATGACGTTGAGACGCGTGAGGAACATGTCGTTTGAACACATATCGTTTTTTATAATTGATCCTTACCTTCCGGTTACAATGTTTTTACCATCGCTGCTGACGGTGATGAGGATTCTCTTGCCGGTCTTGGCAGTAGCCCCGTTAGCGATTTTGGCGCTAATCTTGCGGTGCTTGATTTTGTCGCTGTCGAAGTTAACATTGATGTCGAAATTGTCAATGCTATCCAATTTCGCATGCCCGTCTGCGACAGCGAAGCCCTTCGGTGTGTCGATCTTCAATTCACCTGAGAAACAAATGGTACACAAACTTAATCAAGACCATTATTATGTGCTTAACTGACTTGAAAAGCAGCTGGATAAAGATAAGATGAAATGTATAAATTCTTCTAAACATTTTGTTCTGATTATAGATGAATTCCAATGCAATTTCAGTTTTCAATACTGTCTGATATGTACTATACTAACGCAAATGTCTATGCAAATATCTACGACATAAAAGGAAATATTTCAATATTTCACACATTTGCAGAGTGCGCGCCGCGATATAGATTAAATTATCTGTGAATGTGTTTTTAAATAATTTTTTAAAAATGAGGTTGTTTCAATTTAAGATGCAAATAAAAATAATACATATTGATATCATCTAGCTGAAAGAGTCAGTTGATGCTGGAACCTCCTTATATAGCACATAAGTTGCAACAATATTGCTGTAACTTTGTTGCAATATTGCAATACTGTTTCAACACTGCAGCAACGTTTCTTTAACTCTGTATGCTGTATGGGTCTGGATGACTATTTATTTGATTTTATCTAGATAAAAGCAAACACTGTTCACCTTCATGTCTATTTTATTTCATTGAAAACCCGATCTTTATTAACAAATTAGAGCGAGAGAAAAAGAGAGAGAGAGAGAGAGAGAGAGAGAGAGAGAGAGAGAGAGAGAGAGAGAGAGAGAGACGAAATGAAAGACAACCCTACTAAAAATTGAACCTTGTGAGGATCTAACCACGAGATAATAAATTTGTATCTAACATCTCTATCAGGGGATCAATAATATAACCCGCGCAACGCACATTTTTCAAAGATATCTCAAGACATCCAAAAGACGACCTATTTCTTTAGATGTCTCTTGGACATCTTTAAAATGTCTTTCAGACATGCATGTTGTGTGAAAACGTTCACTTTTTCCAGTAGCTAAATAAATAAGTTAGCTCATAGTGAAATAAATAAAATAAAATAAATTACAATTATAGAATATGGAAAATCACAAGTAGTTGCCAGCCAGTAATGTAACGCTTGCTTCTACTTTCTTAAAATTTTTATGAAATAACGTAACCTCAATTTCGATTTGCTATCTAATTTTAAAATGTTTGTGGCGGCTAGGTTATATATTTCAATTAGATTTGCGCTATCTATTTGACTGTATCTGATGTATAATAGCTAAGCGACATTGTAAAAGTGATTCTATATTTTAATGAATGAACTAGTAACGAGTTAATAATGAGCTAAAAGATTTAATTTAGCCCGTTAGCTACTAGCTTTCGATTCAGATTAGTTACATTTCTACTCCGCGATTAAGGTTACCTGTATATTCGTGTTCGCTGAGTTTCTCGAATTTGGATAGTAATTCGGTCTTTCCATTCGGGCATGTCAAAATAATATGGATCATGGGAGATATGTTGCCGTCTTGAATCTCACTCTTGGCCGTGTACTTGGTATTGTCGGCGGTGATGGCCGCGTCGGTCTTTCTAAAGCTTCCATCTTTCGATCTCTTCAGAAATACATAAAGCGAATATTAACTACCTGATTGGTAGATGTAGCGCGAATTAACGACATTATTTTAACTTAATTTAAGTATTTCATTGTCGTTGATAAACTTTAAAAGAATACATTCTCAAATTATACTATTAACTACACTACACTATAGTCAACTATGCTATAAATGATGTCACAAATAAAAAAATGATAGAGGAAGGGGAGATTTGATAAGGTTAGCCTTCCTCTATCAGAGAGAATATTTGTATACGACTCGGTCAGCCGATGCTCGAAATTAACAAAATCACGGAAAATTTTGTAAATACATTGTACATCCGAGCGTGCTATTTTTACACGCATAAGCGTGCAATTGGCTAAAGCTTTCTTTATACACGTCTCTTGCCGTCTTAAATCATATCATTTAATATATTTTAACGTTTACGTTTAATTTATTACGTTTTTTTACCTAATATGTTAAAAACGATCGTAGTTTTAAGGACCAACGAACCAATGAGAGTTGGACGCGATTCGAGTAAAGTTTGTATAATTCTCGCTAATTCCATAATAATTTTGTTACAACTCCAAAAGGACATAGCGGAAACAAACTTGAAAGACAATTAACATTAAAAATAAGTAACGACAATTAGCATTAACTCGTGACGTTGCGAACGTTACCTCGTGGTTCAGAGAGAAGTCGACATTGTGCATGTTCTCATACGGAGTGGTGGCCTTGCCGATCAGATGAATGGACGAAAAGTCACGATTACATATAAAGGAGTCGATAGTGATAACTGTCTCCTTGTTGTCAAAATTGGTAATCATTTTACGGGTTATCTTCATTTTCTCGTCGTTGGGCTCGTAACTGAAAGTATCGTGAATAACGATTGGCGGCTGTTTGTGGATAGTCAGTACGATCTTCAGTTCTCCGTCGTGGGGATGATCGGAAGCCCTGATTCCATTACTCTTGGAGAAACCCTCGAACTTGATAGACTTGTCATCGTTGTAAGTGAGATCAGAGACCAATTTCGCATCGATGTGATGTTTCTCAGGCTGATTCAGCAGGCTGGATTTGAAATCTAGTTTGAGGTTACGCAATTTCTCGGACGGCAGTACCAATTCTAGGTTGCCGTTCAATATGCAAGGCTTTTCGTTTTCATCACCGGGTACATAGTTGGCGGAACTCTGCGCAAACAACATATTACTGTATGATAAATAATATCAAATAGAAATAATTGGATAACAAATAATAAAAATAAATAATATTAAATAAAAAATAAATAAGTTATAGATAATATAGGATACTAAACAATGTGTAATAATATATTTCACATACATCAACAAACAAGTCAGTATGATGGGTTGCGTGCCCCTATTCAGCTGATAATGCAGAGATTGCCGAGAAAGTCACTCGTTGATTTTGTTGATAATGATATTTGCAGTGCTCCCAATTATGACAAATGCACTAACTTTGTACCGTGATCGTTATTATAGTTTATCGATCGCTTATCGACAGGAATCGAGCCTCATTGAGTTAAAAAAGATGTTTAAAAAAGTAAAACTGAGAAATCACTATTACGGAATTAAGCAAAATAAATAAGAGTTATAGTTAAAGAGATAAATAATACAACATATTTTCTGATTTTGCACAATTTCTTAATTGCTTTCTTATGTTGAAAAGTTCGATAGAAATTGCAGATTAGAAAGAACAATACAGAAATATTTAAAAGTCTTATATACTGTATTTCATCCATATTTCTACAAAAAATCGCTTCTGCAACAATTTGAATTGACTAGAAACTTATTCAGTATAAACTTATGCGAAACTATGTTGTAGAACGAGCTTGTCATAACGATCACGGTGCAAAGTTAGTTGTACTTGTCATAATTACAGGAGTACAGTTCAAATATCATTATTAACAAAGTCAACGAGTGACTTTTTCGACAACCTCTCATTATCTACATTATCGTCCAAATAGGGGCAAGCAACCCGTTATACTGACGTGTATGTTGATGTTATATCCTGTACATGTACATACATATTGAAAAAAAACAGGTTAAAAGGGAACAAGTCTTAGGATTACACAAATTGCAATAAAATCTAAGATAGGACAAAAATCAACAACCCAACATAGAAATCTAAATTACAAAATGTAACTAATGGTAAAAAAAACTATCAAAATGGTGATCCAACTATATAACAAGAATAATTGCCTTTAGTGGGAAGATAAATAAACTAGACTATAAACACAATAATAATCAATCAATAAGATCAAATAAGATAAAATGTGTCAATTTATTTTTAAGATAGTCCCATTGAACTAAATTTCGACCTTGTGTCGTTGAAACAAGAAATTGAATAAACATGAATATTCTACCGACTCGATTTAAATTGTTTTGGCCAATCTTTTTTTTTAGCACACTCCTCTAAAACAAAAAGTAACTTCCACGTACCTTTAAGTGGAACTTGCTCAAGGAAACGGCAACGTACTCCGACATCTCGCCGCTTTCATGCTCGCTGGCCTTATATTCCACACTGTATGGATGCGAACCTGTTATTTTTAACATAATTTCATACAATTCCTTATAGCCGTCAATGTTAGGCAGATTTTTGGAATAAAATTCCAATTCCTTGGTGTTACCACTGTAATCAGTAATTTGCATTTTGCCATTGCCGCGGTAAGTATACTTCTCAAAGTTTACGTCTTGGGCGTCGGCGACGTATGTCACCTTGGCCATTTCGCCTCCTTTGGTTTTGTGATCCTCGAACAAGCTGTTCACATGAATATCGTATTTGTCATCCTCCTTCTTGTCGGAAGTGCGCTTAACCTTATAGACCAAGTAACGGCCGTTTGGCAGGGTGATGTCCACGTCAGCGATCAGTTCGCCCTCCTTAAGTGTGCCTTCGAACTTGCCCTTGCCATTCAGCTCGATCTTATGATTCAACATATCGAGCATGTTCTTTGAATCAATAGTATTCTTCTTTAGGTCGGTCACGGTGGACAATTTGATGACTTTGCTCGGATCCTTCGCATCAAGCAATAGTTCGAAATGCCCGGTGTGCACCGTGCCAGCTATGGTAAGATCTCCCGTACCTTTGATCTTTCGGTTGATTTTTGGTAGATCGATGTCGAGATGAGCGTTACCCTTATCACCCTGCATTGACATCTCGCCTACGACGTTCAGGTAGTTCTTCAAGAACAAGATCAAATTGCCATGTGAGTTTGTGCCCTTTTGTAATTTTAGTTGGAAGTTCACATATTTGACGTCGTTGAGGGAAATAACCGCCCGGGAATTGATGTTCGCCGGCTCAGTGACTAATGCAGCGACAGCCTTAACTTTCTTGCCATTCAGATTCAGGTTACCGTCCACTTCGAAATCCACCTTGTTCTCGTTGTTGTTGCATGTAACGACCACCTCGGATTCGTACTTGCCGCCCGGCTTCAACTCGATGCAGTTCTTGTATTTGCTCTTGTGCGGATCGACAATCGTACGCTTGGATTCCAACTTCAAGCTATTTTGCAACAACTCAGCCTCGAACTCGACCTCATAATCACCCATATTGACCATGTTCCGCTTGGCCGACAGTTCCGTACCGAACTTGAACTTGTCGTAAGTAATATCGATGTCACTTTCGATCGAATTGGGCTTAATCTTGCCGTTCACGTCGAGTATCAACTTCAAAGCCGGGTATGAAATCTTGCTGTAACCTCCCAACTCGAAGTCCTTTTGTTTGACATCGAAGATTATGTATTCTTTGATAGTGAGACGATTCACTTCGGACTTGAGATCCGGCCCGTGAACGAAGACCAGGTTGTTCTCCATCTCGTATGGATTTGCACGGTATTCGTACTCGAGATCGAAACCAATATTGGGATCTCTCGACGGTACCGCCGACAGACCAAGCGAGAAGTGCTGTTCTCCGAGTTTCTTAGCGTCCATCTTCAGTGCGACTGACTCCTCACCGTAGCTGACACTCATGTCTAGAGCGCCGGTTGTCTTTGTGGACAGGATGTAGCCGTTGATGCCAACGATTTTGTGACCGTTCGCCATCAGGGCCACTCTGTCGAACATATACTTCTTGCCACCGTCTTGCTCGACCAACTCCACGAAGCCGTCGACGTTGTATTGTTGAGTAGCAGCTGTTTTAACTCCGGACAGTTTCTCGATGTGCTCCGGCATCTTGTACTCTAAGATAGGCTTGTATTTGGGACCGCTGGCTAAGAGACCGACGCGACCGTAATATTCTTGTTGATCATTATTCATTTTGATCATAAGCGAATGCTCCTCGGAAGTATCTTTCAGCACCGCCTCGGCGGACATCTTTTTGAAGGGAGAATCTAAAGTCACTTTAGCGTACTTGTTAGGTTCTAGACCAGCCTCGGCAGTTAAAGATATGCGTCTGTTGGTTTTGGTGTTAGGCGTTTCCATTATTAATTCAAAGGACCGAGTTTTGGGTGTCTTACAATCATAAAAGACCTTAAAATGATAATAGCGGAAGTCCTGGCTGTTGGTAATGCTGAGTTTAGCCGGACCATTTAATGGGAAGAGAGCACGCTTTTGCATCGCTTCAATATTGTCATGCGGGAATTCCACATGGCCGCAAAAAGATATACCAATAATACCGGCGGCTTGATCGAAGCAGTCTTCGTATACCTTGCCCTTGTTAAACTTGGCAGCCTCGTATACATTGCCCTTTTGACCGGAACTCATGAGAATTTCGCTGCTTACGAGTATAATTTGCTCTTTAGGCTTAGGCGCACCGATGACAAGGTCGATACCTTTGCCATCCAATATCTTCACTTTGAAATCAGTCGCCATGTTAGTGTGCATTGTACTGACTACCTTCATGCCGGACTCTACGTCGAACGCTTTCACCGCCATAGTGCCGGCCACTCGCACGGAGGCACTCGGCTCGAAGCCGAAGTTAAAGTTGGCATTATTCGGATTCTCCATGATTGCCGGGATGTCTATATTGCCGTATTGCTTGAAGAGCATCACGCTGGTGCCGAGCAGATTGAGTGTCAAAGGTGCACCGAGATTCGTTGGATAGACGAGCTCCGTGTCCATAAGCTGTATGTGATGCTTCAACTTTTCGTCGAATTTCTTCAACTTATTCATTCCCACATCGAGCTTCTCGAATATCTTGTCGATGATCTTATTTATTGTAAATTCCTCAGAGTGTCCGTTCTGAGTCAAATAGTACATCTCGACACCAAACAGTTTGACGGAGAGGTCTAGGTCGAGCTGTTGGTCCACCTCGTTGTTCCTTAACTTCACGCCCTTCGCGAATTTGTCGAGCTCGCCTTGTTTAATCTCACGTTTGCCGCGCAACTTGTTCGTCTTCTCCTGGATGTAGTTCACGACGTTCGTCGTGTCGTGCACACCTTTCTCCACCATTTCGTCTACGTCGTCTTGCATGAAGCGACCTTTTGGCCCGAAGTAGTGCTCGATCAATCTGTCGAGATTCTCCATACGCGTATTTATCTCCAAAAAGTTGAAGCTTCGGCCGAAAAGCTCGGTGGTTAGATTCAAACTCACTGATCGCGGCACGAAGCTGTTCTGACTATAAATAACGTTGCTCTCCATGGCGGAACCGACTCCGAAGTTGTCCATATCGTACGATAACTCGTTGTTGAAGGAGAACTTGCGGAAGTCCTCTGGGAATTTGTTGTGCGATTTGATCTTACTGAGATGGTGCTTGGCCGCGTCTTTGTTCGGATCGGCGGAGGCTCGCAAGTTACGCAGGTGACTCTGGATGAAGGAGCCGACTTGGTTGACTTCCTCCTTATCCAGCATGTCCTTGACAGCGCTAGCAAAGTGTTGACAAGGGCACCTGACCATAGACAAGTACGCATTGATCCTGATTTCGCTGTCCTCGTCGCGATCAGCCATGACCTTGAGAAGTGTGTTCTTCCACTTCATACTGCATCGTGTGGGCAGAGTTTCAATCGCGGCCACCCTGACGCGGTTGCGAACGTTCTTATCCTCGGCGATATTGGCCAGTTTCACGAGAGTGGCGTCGTCGAGATATTTGGTATTGCCCAAGGCCTTCAAGGCCGAGACTACCAGATTCTCCTGTTCCCGCGTTTTCGCCTTGCCGTTGCCAACCTTCTCGCGAATCTTGTGAATCGCCTGCTTCACCTCGGCCACGTTCTCACACGTATGCTCTTGACAATACTTGCCAATCACCTGACCAACTCCGAGGTAGCCGAGACGTGGCAAATCCGGCTGTTCCAAGAGGGACGTAACCGCAGTCACCGATGGCAAATGCACGTGATTGACGAGGGCGAGACTCGCGTAGAACACGAGCGTCTGCATGTCGTTGAGTTCATGGCTTTTCAGTAAATCCATGCCCACCTCGGCGGCCTCACCGGTCCCGGTGCGGAAGAGTGCGTCCAATAAGATCTTCTTGTCCTGAACTTTGTCAAAGCCGGCGCCGTTTCTCACCTTCTGGTAGATCGTGAGAATGTCGTTCTTGTTGCTGGTACTGAGCACTCGGATGAGCTCGGCAAACTTCTCCGCGGCGTGCTCCTGTATCGTGTCGACCTCCTCGGCGCTGGCGGCCTTCAAGGCCGCGGCGATGCTATCGACCGACGACTTGATGATGGGGTGTGGTGCATCGAAGATCAGAGACTTCGGCTGACTGACCGGGGCCTTCGGATTGTCGCCCTTCTCGCTCTTCAGCGTCAGCGTCGTCTGTATCACTGTCTTCGCGCCGATGTTGCCGTTGCTGAACGGTTTCAGCTGGTAAGTCTCGACGGAGCTCGCCTTGTTCAGAATGCCGCGTTTGAAGCGTTGCTCGATTTTTTGGTGTGATGACAGCAACGGCGCAGACTGAATGTCCGAACTGAGATCGTAGATCGCGGACACGGGACCTTGCCGGATATGCTCGCGATAGCTGCAGCGGGCCAGATTCCTCTCCTTTTGCACGATCAAGGAGTCACCGTCCTTGTGGAAGGTAAAGTCGGTTGGACAGCCACCGAACACGTCGACCTGAGGAAGAGGTTTGCCATGTGACACGCGTATCACCGTGCTATATGCAATAGGACAAATGTTTAATAAATACATACACTATGGCTCTGAAAAAAGGCTGTTTTTCACCATTTTTTTCTCGTAAACGTGAAGTTCTTTTAACTTGCTGTTTTTTTTTATTAAAGAATATCAACATTGTAGATTATTTTCCAATTTTTTATGCTTTATATTCTTTCAAAATAGCTACAGTATAAGAGCTAGAATTCTAGGCATCATGCGTCGACTTGGAAATTGGTACCGGAAAAAACAGTTATAAAACGTATCGGAATGCAAAAAGTCATATATTTTCTTAAAGTACATTAAAAAACGCAGCTAGCATCGTAGCACTGTTTTCACACATTTTGCTTCTAAACAAAATGGCACATATTTGAATTTTAAAGCCTACTTTTTTACAATATTAATATTACAATTACAAGCGAACAAAAGTATAAACAAAAAAATCCCTACAATACTATCTACGTTTCAGTATGTTCAATAGACATGTTAAACCTCAAAGACAAAGTCGGTTCAGTAGTATTTGAGAAATCCTTGGTACCAGTTTTCAAAGCATGGTTTTGAGAAAAATGCGTCTAAAGTTTTAAGTAAGGTTTAAAACGAGTGAACAATAAAATTGTTTATCTTAAACGGAATCATTGATTCCTGGACCATAAAGTAAACCCTCAGTACTCAGCTTATCAGCCGCTTTATTTAGTTTTTGCTCTAGTCGTGCCGTTTTTGTAGAGGCACACGCTCGTACGTAATACGCTACCTGCCGCAAGAAAACATACAAACGCGTGCTTTGCGCGCTTACACAAAGATGGCTGTATCTCAGTCATTTCAATATATCTTTAACTTTAGGGAAACATTTTAGAAACATCATAGATTTAAAAAATGTAAAAATTGAAAAATCGATTTTTTGACCCTTCAGAGTGTATGTAGCTCTTTAATGGGAGAGAGACAGTTATACTAGTGCGACGTGTACCTCGTGATGGCTCGTAGAGCCAGACTCTTGAAAGACGGCCGTCTGGAACAAGGAACTGACTGCTCTCTTGATGTTGAGAGACGCTTGCGAGTCACCGGCCTCGGCGCACACCTCTGTATCAATGTGGCCGTCATGGTAATTGAATTGCAACGCGTACTGTTCCACATCTGGCAGCGAGAGCGGCTGAAAAGAAAAGGATGAGAATATTGTTACACACGAGTAGCCCCTATGATGCACTTTCATCCCCCTTGTCGTTAGGTAATAATAATTAATTAACAATAGTTAGGTAACAATAGTTAGGTAACAATAGCGCAGTAACATTCATTTATAATGTCATTTATAATAATAATTATATTTTATACACACAAGTATATAAATAAGTGAATTATGCGTTATATGGACGTAAACGCATATTTATAATTTATAATACACATGTAAATATATAATACATGTCATCAATTATGCATTTGTAATTATTTGTAAATAAATCACGCATAATTTTCAATAATTATATGTTTGGGCAACGGTAATGATCGCGATTATTAATTTTGTCGTTGTCCTATGCAATGTAGAATACATATTAGATATTGAAATTTTCGAAAAATAATTTTCCCAACCTTGGTTACATATATGAAACAAACGTTAATCTATCGTTTACGAATGAGTATTTTTTTATTAAACAATTGAATAAAGTCTACCGAACGAATATTTTGTACATTTCGACAATACGAGATGTGAACGACGTGAACTAGCGTTCATTAATTTCGCTCGAGAGACATATTTAATTGCAAGCTTTTTCATAGTGGTTGGGGGAAATTTTGAGTTGACGATTCTTTTGTTTCCTTGATACATTCATACTGCTGTAAATATACAAGGTGTCCGGGACCTTTTCGAAACGAAAAATTTTGAAGATAATCAGATCAAATTGAGAATAAAAGTCAAGTACCATTTTGCAAATAAGTGTACAAATTTTCAAGTTATCAATTAAAAAAGCCTCTAAATACGTTCATTTTCAATCATTAATAATTTAATAACTATTGCGATTTTTGCAAAATGGTACTTGATTTTTCTTTTCAAATTCATTTAATTAATCTTCACAATTTTTCGTTTTCAAAACATCTCGAACATCCTGTATACCGTAATTTCATCGAGTCTCGTTAATTTATACATAAAGCGCAAATAACCCGATGAATTAAATATGTTGCCAAGTGGGAGCTAAAAACTTTGGCTGACAAATGTGCGTGTCATGAAACTTATATGTATGTGCCGTAATTTTGACCGTCTAAACGTCTTAGTTGAGCTTTGAAATAATCCATGAAAATCAATATATAATGATTAAGGCATCGAAAAATTGAAATCTCGTGTATCGTTTTTTCACTTTAACGTATTTTCCTATTTTTTCCCTGCATTCTTTTATAACTCTCATACAGCGATTTTATTATAAATGTACACGTTCGCAATAATATATGTGACGGATAGATGTTCATGTACTTACGGCTCCGTTGATTTGCACGCCCTTCAATCGGATCTGCCGAATGCAGTCAGGCTTCACGGTCAATTCAACGGTACCTTTCAGTTTCAAGCTAGCCTCATTCTGAGCTTCGGGGACTGACGTTACGGATGTGCCCTCCAAATCGTAAACGTATGTGTGTCCCTCTTGGTAGGCTTTACCTCCATGCACTAGAGTAGATCGTACGTACGAAGATAAAGTAAAAGTTCAATCAGTAGGACGAGATTACGAGGAAATTAAATCGAGTCCAACGAATATCTCGATTTTTCTCTCACACAGTAAAAAATAAAAATGTTAATTTTATATCTTAAGGAGTTTTTACTCCAAATTTTAAACAAAATCAGCTTATTGGTTGTGTATTGCTTGCGGATAAATAAGAAATGTAGATTAATTAATTAATATTCGCACATTCTCTTTTTACATTTATTTATTTTTCTTATATTTATTGTTTGTTGTTCCGACTAAAATTTGACATAAAAATAATAAAAATCGTAAAAGCATGTGAATGAGTAGTTAAAATAACTTGTACGAAATATTGATGGAATATTTTTGTTCATATATGAATATAAAAATTAGTGTACTTTAACGCGAATCTTCACGTTTCAGATAATTTTACTTAACGTATTAAGAAATGATGATTCATGATTTTTCAACGATGAACATAATTTTTAATAAAAATTGTAATTGAGATTGAAACAGCGAACATATGAGTTTAAAGAAAAAAATGTGTATTAATTATAATATATAATAATATTAATAATATTAATACTTACTTCCATGGCAACCGACTGTACATTTACCTGTAAGCAAAAACAGAGTCAAATATAAGATCGAACTGCAAAATCAAGCCTGAAATTCTATATAAAATTAAATTTTTATGACACACATGTAACATAATTTTTCAAAGATACTCCGTTATCAATATCCACTATTAATTATTAATTGTTAATACAACGTGAGGTGGTTAGAATTTATTCTTTATATGATAGAATTTTATACTTAGAGCTTATATAATATCTTATGGATATTTTTGTGCATACTTTCTTAATTTGCTAATTTAATCTTTGGATTGTATCGATAACGCGGGCGAATTCACCGAGTGAAGAAAGAGACGACCAGTCGTAATCTATTATGCTCGATGATGATTATTGTGAGAAAAAATATATTTATACATTGAAGTGAACTCGATGTCCTAAGGTCGCGCACTGATAACGATGGCGTTAATCGTGACTCTCATGACCCCTGGACCATGGAACTTTCATTTCTGTTCGACAGTGACTTGATACTCACAAAACTGATAATTAAACGGTTCCCCCCCGCAACAATTTCATCCTTTTTTAACGTTTAAATTGATACGGACAATGGGACTTTTTCAGAATTATATCAGAAAAAACCAAATGATTTTTACATATAAAGAATAAAGACAATCTTACATTTGCATGCATCAAACTATACAAGGAAACAATTATATAAAAATTTTCATAATTTTTCCTCGCTGTTTATTACACATTTAACCTCCGTCTCCGATTTAATTCTATATTTAATATTATATCTAAATTATGAAATGTTACAGGAAGGAAGAGAGAGTGAGAACAAGAGCAAGAGATTGGCAAAGTACTTAATCATTGATGTGTAGTTACTTTTTTTAATTATTCAAATAATTATGAAAGTACCGAATATATTTAATATTAATATTTGTCGACGGTCGGCGACAGCAGGCTTTTACTTCTGACCATAAATTTTACTTTATCTCGCTTGTATTCGGTAAAATAGCGTCGACAACAGAATCCGTAATCGCGGAAAAATACGTGGAAGATACGATGAAAAATAAACCTAATCAGTGAAATCACAGAGCGCATGAAGAAATCTTAAATGTGGTAAAAAATGTTTTGACGAAACATGGATTATATAATTTTATGAAGAAATAAAAGTTAGTTAACGCACTGCGGATGAAACTTGGTTCATCAAAATAACTTATTAATTGCGCAATTTTGCTTAATTCGCACAGAAGCTCAGTTTAGTGATAAATATGAAGCGGTCTTTTGATCAATCATATCAAGCAGAACGTATATTATTAGACATCGCGACGGAAGTTTATATTTCAAATATTAACGTCAATCTTACGATATAAAAAATATATTTAATATATCGTTTGGTAAGCATATTGGTATTTAAATAAATAAATAAATAAATAAAAACTATCAATGTTCTAAGCATCAGTATTTATATATAAATGAAAGTATCACAGACGTTCAGTGTAAGAAATATATTAAACTTTTGAAAAATGTTCCAACTGTTAAAACAAACAAGGAATTATACGAAATTAAGTTACGCCAATATATTTGTGCAGTCGTTAATTTTACTTTCTGTTGCATCAGTTGCTCCAGTTATTCTTAAAATACTCTTGCATTTTTATCTTCAAGTTTTTTGTTCTTCGAATTTTGTGCGATTTTGCAAGGCGAAGTCGAAATCACGCTTGACTTCTTTCTCGCGGATGTAAAAACTTATATCGCCGCTAATCAGTACGTAAGAAGAAGATAAAATTATAAACACCTCGTTTTAATGGTAGATTATAAATCAGTTACCAATTACGAACGATTTGGTGTTATTCAATATTACCAGGAAGATTAATACGATAAAAAAGGAAAAAACAAGCAGCTGTTAATATATGTATTTTGCACGTATATCAAGTTACGTAATTATTTGCTCGACAACGAGGTCAATCGACTGTGGCCGATTGAACGCGGCGGAAATTATTTTCTCTTGAAGAGAGCAAGTAGCGAAACTCGAAGCCAAAGTAAACCCCCAGCAAATTGCGCTGGAATGCGAGAAACACACGACAATTAGCCGATTTTCATTCAGTGCAATCGCACTTACGCCATAGAAACCTCATGAAAGATAATCTTCACGACACGCATTTATTGAACTTTTATAATTCGTAAAGACAGAAAGGTCTCATATTTTTTATCAGTTTTGACACTTAGGAAAAAAATTCCAGTTCGAAAAACTCTAATTCTAATTAAAAAAATTTGAATTCTGTAAAAGTCATCTAAAAGTCTGCCTGAATGCTCCTCCTCACACAGTTGTAAAAATTAACAAGGCGTACGCGCGTGTACAGCGAATCGTCACAGGAAATCTCTGTGATTATCTGTGAGAGGAGCCGAGCCGACTTTTCCATTCGCGAATGAGACAGAGAAATTATCTGTTTTTTTTTCCTGGAAGGAAAAAAAAGTAGTGTCAAAGACGAGAGTACGCGGTGGCCGAGAATACACGGAGACGAGGCACTTTATTTGAGCGCCGGCGACGTAAAAAGAATAGAGAGGGCGAGATAACGGAGCGACGTTCGAATGAATGAGGAGAAAAAAGATGGATGAGGTGTAAGAGAAGAGAAAAAGGGGAAGGAGGAGAGAAGGGAGGCAGTACCTTCTCAATGGAGGGATAAGGGGATAACAAAGGAATAAAGAATGACGGGCGCGCGCGCGTAAGAAAAAGAGAGAGAGGGAAAGAGTGAGGAGGTAGCGAGAGGATCTCTCGAGGATAGATCGGAAGAAGAGCGAATCTATTCAACGCGGTTCTGGTGTATACATTGTTTCTCTCTGCGACAGCATCGCGAACCTGTGACGATCAATTTCCTTTCCCTAATCGCCGCCGTCACGTCGACTGCTCAGCGGCAATCTACAGCTTTGTCGAAATATTCTCGTCGTGACTCCTTTTGTTATCGCCGGATAAATTCCGTACCCGGAATTTCGGCGTTTCGCTCATCAGCATGACAAACACGACGAAGCAATTCATTCCTTTAAACTTGCGTCGTCGAGTTCGCAACCTCGCCCTCTTTGTTGCCTTCTTAGACGTGGCTCGGTCCACGAGACAAGGTGTTGCGAAAAATTCAAGCAACTCTTCGATCAAACTCAAATCGACTATTTCTCTGAACGACAATGGCGTTTCGTCAGTTGAACACGTCAGATGCGGAAGGAAGAGATTTCTTGCTGAAATTCAGGCAGACTTCACCTCGATGGAGTTTCAGTTTCCGCGAGACTCCTTGTTCGTTATAAACGGGATTGCAAGTTCGACATTTTTTGTCCAAATAATTCGTTACTCATTGAAACAAAGAGCCCGCTGCCGCCGCTCATTATGAAATGTAACTCGTTACCGTTATCGTCTTATACAACGTAATAACGAATCTCCTCACAATTTCCATTACTTTCCTCATCGAGTTTCACGAATCTTTTATTTACGTTTTGTTGCTGCTCCCTTCATATACAAAAGTCACGATAAAGGTAACGATTAAGCCTGTTACCGTTAAACTTTGTTAATCCACAAAAATACAAATGTGCGATATTGTTATCATTATTCCACGGCGGTGACGTTACAAGCAACGAGTTATTCCCCGAGCCTGCTATCCATAAAAAAGCTTTAAAAAAGAAGAGGTAATGTTTATCTAAAATCTCCCCAATAAGAGATCGACTCAAATCGCCAGGAATACCAAATGTTACACTTCACGGAATTTTATGAAAAAATTCTTTTTTTATAAAAATAATCTGTCAAATTTCTCACAAACAATTTTATTAAATCCTATTATTAATAAACTGCATCAGATGGAAGTTATAGGTATCGTTGGAATTTCACGACGATCCAGCAGTCGCGAGCATAATTTCTGTCGTTGTTCGTTCCCTGACGTGCGCAGCATGATTAGGGTTGCTCCGGTCTCGTTGTATTACTTAACGTATGCATTATGCAAATTCATAACGAACACGGCGAGGCACATCATCACTTTCATATTTCACGCGCGCGGACACGCCGTATCTTTCCCGCGTTATTTCGCGTCGCATTTAAACGTCGATCTCTCTCCGCGATGATCCCATATTTTTCCGCTCGTATTTTTAACACGCGCCGGCGGGTCGCTTTTATTTCTCGCGCGCGCGCAGGCCATTGTAATTATTTATCGTGGGATTTTAGCGCACTGTCTGCGCATTGAACGGTTTGAATGGCTTGCAGTGAAATGTTGCGTTTAAAGAGATTTATACAAAAAAAGAAAAAAAAGGAGTCTCCGGTGTCCTCGCCGTCCGCATTGTCTACGCTTTCCGGTGCTTCTGCAGCTACGTGCAGGTGGTATAACCGGGGCAATTGCAGAAACGTATCGTCAATGAAGAAAAAATCGACCCGTCGCAATCGAAGCGGCATTCTCTCGATGCGCATTTCGCTTCTCGGCGAGTCGCCGCCACGAGAAACGCCTCCCCGCCCTCCGCGGCCCCTGTCGTTTTTCTTCTTTTTGTATCTACGCTCTCCCTTTTGCGTACTTGTAAAACGTGCGCACAGTGAAAGAACATTCGTTACGACGCAACGGTCAGATCGGATCTATTTTACTGGGATGTAGGGACGTCGGATCAATTTACCAAATGTCCGGTCAAACACGGGGGACCTGTAATCGTTTCAATGATACGGACCTCGTTCCGAGCACCGATGCGACATAATGCGGACTCTTTTAACCGTTCATTCGTTACTTCGCGCAAGAACGCGCAAGAAAATCGTCGCGAAAACTCGCTCATTGAATCTCGCTGACCGTCGCCTACGTGAACCTCGTTAATCGCTTCCCTTGGTTACTTGAAAACGCGATTACGTGCCGCGATGTTGCGAGCACTTCAGCTTATATCGAGATAGTTTTCTATTTATTTGATATTTCTTTTCATCGATAATTCACTCGACAGCGAAGAAAAAATACCAATGAGAGGGAGGGAGGGAAAAGGAGAAAACGGAGGGCGGAAGAGAGGACATATTTTTGGAGGCGCTTTTCTTGTTCGAATTTTTATAATCCTATTTAATAAAAGATTTCGAAATTTATTTCCGCATTCATGAGCGGAGTTATTATTTTAGTTGGCTGTTTTGTGTGCTTCGTGGTTTCCTACGAGAATTCTGAAAATATATCGCGGAATTATCGCATAGTCGTTACCGCATATTGGTGCGTTAATCCGTTAAAATATTCACGATTAAATGCAATAGTGTATACGAAACGCCGGACGAAAGGAAAAATATGGAAGCACGCGCGCGATAATGCGCTATCGGCAATATTGCGCTACGAGGATTTTTGCCGTATCGCTTGGGAGCAGGAGATCCGTAATTATAATTATAATTAATAAGATACAATATATATCGCTAATATCACTAAGAAAAATATGCAATTTTTTTATCACGAGCCACAGACGTGTGGAAGAATAATCGTAATCGCGGCACAACATTCGGAACGAGCTATGTAATTATATTTGGTACACAATAACGTCCGCGACTCAATGCATGTCGATTGCCGATAATCGATGTAGATGTCGACATCGCAGCACACATCCAGCGACACGAGGTCGAGGTATGTCGGATGAAGCGAGTAATGTGAGCTATCAACTTTATCTCGAAGACTGGGCAAGTCTTTTTTAAGAATAAGTTGTCAGTTTACACGACGAAAAATCCGTAATTTCTTATCACAATGCCGTTATACTCGTCTGGATAACTAATCCGGTGTAAAGAAAAAAACTGGGTCCGCATTATTTTCATCGTAAACAGAAAAACGAAATAATGTCGTTACATAACGCAACTTGTAACAAACAGTGTTGCGAACAGCACGTTACTTCTCAACTTAATTTTCCTTATAAAAAACTTCTTTATAAAAATAAATTTCTTTATAAATATCTTTATAAAAGAAAATTATTTAGTATTTACCAATGTACTGATTTAGGCTCAAAATTCATTTTTGAGATATTTTATATCATTCCTGCATGTTACTCGTTTTTTAAGAAAATATCGTAACCGTAATTGCGCCTGCACGTTGTGAGTCAGTATATCAAACTCTTTTTCCTTTTTTTTTTAATTTCTTTTAAAGAAGAAGAAAGTTTAATTTCTTAAAAAAAGAGAAAGACAGACGCGTTTGACGGTCGCTGAAAGGTTTCACGCACGTCAAATCCGTCCGACGTAAAATCGAGAAATAGACGCATGCCAATCGCGGTCGAAGCGGACGAATTAATCGCGTGCGCACGGACGATAGAGTAAAACCTCTAATGTAACATAGAATGGAAAATAACAGGTTACAAATACGGACGAGACCGTATCAACGAGCGAGTCGCCGTCGCCGCGGGAGCAAAAGGCGGCAAAGAGAGCAAAGTGCTCGTGTAGAAAATCAACATGTTTTCCGCGACTATCGCGGGCGAGATCGAATGAAGCCTGACGGTATCGGAGACGTGCTTTCATAAGTCGCGACATAATTGTAGCACCGAGAGAAAAAGAGACGGTTTTTCGGTCTCTTCTTTTTCTCTTTTATTCGCATTCGATGTGACCGACGTGACGACGGCCGATAGAATACTGCGGATCTGTCGGCTGTGCGAAAGTGTCGCTAATTTCGACACACGCGCGATTCGGTAATCTCTATCCTTGACACGAGTAACCTTATGATATTCGAACCTGACCGCGCCCGAAGCGCGTTGACCTTTTCTATCAGCTTGCTGTTTATTAATCTTCAATGCGATACAAAAATTGAGACTTATCGAAGTCATCCGGTCTTCTCGAGGAGACCAGGGGAACGCGATTCGCTCTTGGGAGCCGAGACGCGATCAGATGTAATTTTATCAGCTCTTTCTACGGCATCAAGAATTTAACGTCCGACGGAGAGAAGACGCACGCTTAGTCTATTTTCAAGAATGTAGATCGTAGTTTTTCGGAAACTGCGGGACTTTAGTCGACATTGCCATAGTGTTGCGTGGGAGCAAAATTTACGAAAATCACCCACGCGCATCAACATATCTTTCGGCAAGAGAGAGAATGAAAGAGAGAGAGAGAGGAAGAGAGAAAGAGAGAGAGAGAGAGAGAGAGAGAGAAAATGTTCAAAGTGATGTCAAATAAAATACTCTTTTAACTAAATTTTTATCGACAAAAAGATCAAAGATATGTAATAACCAAGAAACTTTTGCCCCTTCTCGGCACAATATTGAGCTTTAATGGGAATCATAATTATGAAATAATATGCATAATATCCAAACGAGAATAAACTAATGTTGATTAAGATTGTTTATACAAATTATTGACGAAGGAATTCGTCGTACTGCATCCACAAATATCAGTATGATCTTTTTCATTCCATTTCTATCGAAGCAACTCGAATATTTTTATTTAAAAGCAATACTTCCGCGGGATTCGTAATAGCCAATGTCGCTGTTGAATAAATTTGAATTAAAAAGAACACGTCTTCTCTTCCTTCCATTTCCGAATCTTGGAATATTTTTCGATCTAGTTCCTTCTCCGCGCTGACGCACGCAGATGCGGAAAATGCAATATTAAAGATAAAGACTTGATATTTTTCATTGACGGAATATATCAATAGGATCACTGGAACCGCTCGAATAGGAAAGACCGCTTCGACACGCTTTTCGCATCTCCGGAGCATAATCCTGGAGAACGAAGAGAGACGTGTCGAGGTAAAACCGTTTCAATGCGAATGGCTTTCACGCAAGCAAGCTTGATCAGCGAGGAAGTCGAAGTGTGCGGCGATAGTTCTACTCTCTCGGGGTGGAGCGGCAGGGGGATGGGGGACAAGATCGAAGGACGAAACGCGAAATATCTTTGAGGGAAAGAGTCGCGAAGAGGAAACGAAGGTCGCACACTTCGCTCTACTTACTCCCTGAGGCGTCGGTCGCCAGGAACAGGAGGAGACAGGCGGCGGTGACGGCCGCACTCGCGAGCCCCATGGCGTCTTCTCTCCCCGAACTACTTAGCACTCTCGCACAATCAAGCGCAGTGTGACACGATGTGACACGATCGACGGCCACGGGCGAACACAAGAGCGTCCGAGCTTTTCTTCGTGCGTGCTTTTATGCTCTCATCGCTCCCCACTACGCGCTACGGATCTTTCCTGTGCGTATCAGCCGCACTCATGCAACGTATATCGATAGAGGTCCGCAGCCCCGTCATCGTCAGAGACCGAAGGAGATAAAGTTCGAAAGCGCGCACGGACGTTCCGTGATTTCTCGTCCGAGGAAAAAAAAAAGAAAGAAAGAGAAACATAGGGACCGGTCAAAGTGTCGTTATCAACAAATTTTCTTTCCTTCTTATCGGCTACTAGGTTTCAGCAAACACGACAAAAATGTCCGTCAGCCGTGCGCCGTCTTCAATCCCCCGGGCGGACGTAGGATGGACCACCACACGACCCCCAATCGCTACCAGCTCAGCTTCCTCCGCGAAGGGTGGGATATTTATCGCCGAATCCAGCACGACCTGTTTCCTGCCGGCGCGCCGTCAACGGCGTATATATCATTATCTTGCTTATACGCCTTAATTGAATCACCGATAATTAATCAGTTATTGATTAACGGTTATCGCCACCACTTGCATTTTACCACATCCATTGAGGATGGGGTAATCCAATTTTTGCGGGTTTTACGCATTGCGTAGTACGGGAGAAAAAGGAAAATAAAACGGAGGTGTTTGTCGTTGCACAGGAGACAAATAACAAGGCGGATGCTATGCGCTTCTTTCTTCGTACTTCAATAGAAGTTTTTTTCTTTTTTTTTTTGTCAATCGATATTACAAGCATATTTCATATCTAATTCTTGTTTTAGTCTTTCCCGACACAGCAACAATCAAATAGTCACTTTTGTGGTCGCTGCTTAAAGTGAATTTTACTCGGTCCATATATTAGAATTCAGCTAAAGAATTCTTTCTTTTAACATATCTCGCAAATATTATATAATATATTCTTTGATGATCGTCAGTTCATCCGTCATTCGAAGGATGAGATAAATAAATCCATCTTGGGACGTTATCAAAAAGAAACAACTTCTTGCACTAGTTTACATCTAAATCCAATTTTTACTGATTTTCCTATCTATCTACACTTACACACATGAACTTTTGGCGATTGATTCGACTTGATCAGCACATTTAAGATATGTATATATGACAAACAGCTTTTACGAATATCATTTTATAACGTTAGAGTTACGATAGTCTAATCTTTTAAAAGTTGTACATGTTGCGAAAGGAAGAGAGAGGCAGATAGAGAAAAGAAGAAAGAAAGGAGAGAGAGAGAGAGAGAGAGAGAGAGAGAGAGAAAGGGAGAGAGAAAAGAGAAAAGAGAAAGAAAAAAAAGAGTGAGAAAAAGAGAAAGAGAGAAGACAAGAGCAACTATAATAAAATTGAGTAAAAATAAGTCCACCTTTATATCATTCTAAACGTAAATGTCTTGAATAATTGGCAACTGAAATCAATATTAGTTTTTTATATTATTGCTTTAAAGTTTACATAAATTTTATACCATTATCGCTTTAAATTTTATATAAAGGATGTATATGTGCGTATATACGCACAAAATCTTCAATTTTTCCACGAGGCGTGTCGATCCGAAAGGATGCTTTGAAACTGCTCCGACGATTATATTTAATTATAGAGATACTTTTCGAGAGTTCTGAATACGTAAGAGAGTCGCCGACATTCCTCATATATGTCCGTCGTTAAAAATAATAGATATCGATTATCCGCTCGTGGCGACCACGAAAATTCTGCCATTTCGTTCTATAATTATCGTTTAATATTAATACATATATAATTATCTGTAAAAATATTTAAAACTACAGTTGCAAGAGATTATATCAGCAAGAAGTGCAACATCCTGTACATTTCATGATACAGAATTGTCGAAGTAGTGTGACTGCGTTATCGCGAGAAAAGATAAGGAAGAAGCAACAAGTATAACGATAAGGGAGACTAGAGTTATCGCAAAGTGCAGACGTAGTTTTCTTTCAACAATTCTTTCAAAATTAGTTTGACCCCTTGGATTCATGGCTCTCAGATGTTTTACTAATTATGATCCAAAACTTAAACATTTTTTAGCAAGTCTTGAACACACTAACGTGAAATATTTTTTATTCTCTCTTAGCATGAAGTTTGTTATCAGCACCGCACATGTGTGGCGAAACAATTTCTTACGACAATTTTTCATTGGTATCTTATACGTGCGGAAAATTTCTTTTAAGCGTTATTAGATTAACAAGGAAACTGCCACAACTGTCCGACTTTTTATTCCTTCAAATACAATATGTTATTAAATAGAACAATTTAAGAAACAAATATTTCTTTATACATGTCTAATAAAAATATAAAAGCCTTTAAAACGTGAAATATAAACCTTCAAAGAATATCCAGCGTATATAATTCTAAGCGAATATCGTCGAAATTATGAAATATACAAAAAAGATGTTTTCAATAGTTTTACGGTAGGAAAAGTTGGAACTTAAATATTTCATTTTTCATCATTTCGAAATTACGACTTCTCGGACAATGAAATATACAAAAAAGATGTTTTCAATAGTTTTACGGTAGGAAAAGTTGGAACTTAAATATTTCATTTTTCATCATTTCGAAATTACGACTTCTCGGACAATGAAATATACAAAAAAGATGTTTTCAATAGTTTTACGGTAGGAAAAGTTAGAACTTAAATATTTCATTTTTCATCATTTCGAAATTACGACTTCTCGGACAATTAATTGTTGTGATTGACTATATATGATACAGACAATTTTTTCTCTGTGTTTATGCTCGCAATGATCTTATAAACCGTATATATTGTTCTGTAATAATCGAAATACGAACATGTAACAATGTAGGTAGTTTGCACTATCGAGTACCTACGATACCAAATTCAGTTACATAGCAAAATAAAAATGTGTAACATTCATACGATCTGCAACTTGAAAGATTGATCGTTTGGAACTATGTTGTAACAAATAAGGTTTTTCTTGTTGCTGTTTTACTGTTGTTTAGAGAAATGTATAAAGGCAATATGTTTTCGACAGTCAAAGTGTAGTGATTTATGTTTCTTATTTATATTAGCGTAAATTGCACTTCATGTTTAGGGTAAAGTTAAATAAATTGGAATTATGTCATAGAGTTATTTATAACGTCACTGTTATTCTTCACAAGTGAAACTATATGTTCATAAAACAACACGATAACGTTAACATATAAAGTAATTTGCACATCAAGTTATTTATTACATACAGGTTCTATTTCCAAGTCTGTTGTCATTCAGTAGCATATTTGAGGGGCATCGAGTTGACATATATCGATATATAAATATTTGGGCGGAGCGTACGAGCAGCAAATCTAATTAGTGGTAAGAGGGATATTATGACATTTCGAGCAGTTTCCCGTTGTAGTTTCTTCAGATATATATGACTTTCCGTATAGCAGCTCGTACTGAAACTAATACACGTTATTAAAATTGTGCGCTGGGCCTGGCGCTGATCCAACCTTAATTAAAAGTCAGCCACATCTTGTCTATCTATATTCATTAATTTCACTTATTTTATGAAAAACAAATTGTTTATGTTATCCAAAATAATGTATCATATAGTTGTAGAAAATTTTATTCTAAGGAGAGGTTAGTTTATACCGGTGTGTTTGTAACAATGTTATTTACAATTGATTAAACTACTTAAAATTGTTAAAAATAATTGCTTCCGACGAATTATTAAAATAAGTTAACATTTCGTTATCAACCTGTTTATTTTAGAAGAAATCTGTAATAGCATTTGTTTCTAGTTTTTTATAGAATATTGTTATTGATAAAAGATAATAATTTTGGTGACATATTAAAAAATAACTTCGTCACTCCAACACTGTCTGAATAATATTATTTTTGTAACCCATCATTTAGCAATTTAGGTCAAAGGATATTGAAAGTAAATATTATTAGCAGAACATTGAACTAAATACGCGTTGGCAGCAATGTTAATAGCAGTGGCGTTACTTGCTGGATAAATTGATCGTTTATTATTTGCCCGGTAACAGAGGGTCTTCATGGTCAAGCACACATGTAGGACAGCATATATGTTTCTAGTGCCATTTTTGAAAATTGTAAAACTTACCTATAGCATTCTTTTTGTTAACAACAATATTATTAAACGTTAAACTTATTATCAACATTTGAGAATATTTCTGTTAATAACATTGATATTAGCAGTTTAAATTTTATTATTTTGTATAACACTGCTAAAAATATATGTTATTAGTTTTATCACTGATGTAAACAGATTTTTATGGTTTTTTTATTTGTCGTTAACATTTGTGTTAAAACATTCACGTTATTAAAAATATATTTTGTTAGAAATATTTGGTAAATTGATTTTTGAGGAGAATATGTGATGTTAAAAATATTTCCATTATTAGCTTCTTTTTACATTATTGCTGCTATATTTTCGATATAAACCAGTCTTAATTAACAATATATAACTTGACTATATTTATTCACAATAAAGAATATTATATAATATAAAATTTGGAGACATTCAAAAAGGATGGGTGTCAATAAGGCCGTTTTTGGGTCTTCTTCGATTGGCTTGATACTGTAAGAAATTATTACTGTTGACGTATCTCACAACCCTCTGAAACCTGAAACCCGTTTTTCGATCGGTCAATTAGAATCGAAGATAGAGCAATTTGAAGATTCTCGATTTGCTACAGTTTAATTCAGAACTCGTCATATTTTTTTAAGATATTAATCAATTTCGGTCATCAAACTTTTTCAAAAACTATGCATATGTATGATGTTAAATATATGTAAAAGTCATTGACCTAACTCATTAGACTGACCTTGAAAATGTCCTCGTTTAAATAAAACCAATAACATGGTTTTTGCATACTTTCATTATGTTTCTGAATTACAAGTAGCTTTTCTATTCCGCAATCCTTATAGACGTGATATTTAATATATAGAAGAGCATTTCTGCATTATCAATTCATACGCTAGACATTCATAGACATGATATTTCAAGATGTGATTTTCACAAAAGATAAATGGA